TTAGTTCTAGTTTTGCAGTAGCACTATTTATTATAACTAACACTAGACCTAGAACTAGAATCATTCGGGTTTAGCCGTCTTGAGAGACGTGCGGCTAAACTCGAATGATTCTAGTTCTAGGTCTGATGTTAGTTCTAGTTTTAGTTGAATGGAAAATACACAACAATCTAACTCTGAATAACAACTGTAACTAAAGTTAACACTAGCACTAGAACTAACACTAGACCTAGAACTAGAAACATTCCGATTTAGCTGTTCATCTCTTAAGATGGCTAAACCTGAATGTTTCTAGTTCTAGGTTGGTTCTACTTTTAGATCAACAAAAAAGTACAACAATCTAGCGCTGAATAACAATTAAAACTATATTCTGGTTTAGCCGTGCGTCTGAAGACGCAAGGCTAAACCCGAAGCTTTCTAGTTTTAGGTCTAGTGTTAGTTCTAGTTTTACACTAACACTAGAACTAACACTAAGCCTAGAACTAGAATCATTCAGGTGTAGCCGTCTTGAGAGATGTGCGGCTAAACTCGAACGTTTCAATAAGACTTTTATAAGACTTTATGAAAAATTATTGTTTAAAAAGCTAACAAAGAAAACCCCCTTAAAATCTTTTTTACATCTCAACTTAAAAAAAAATTGAAATTTTAATTTCTGAATTTAAAAAATTATAAGTCATCCCATAATTTACCGAGACGATTAGATTCGGCTCCATTTAAGTTGAACGACGACAGCGCCAAACTTCAGTCATAACCCGAACACAATATTAATTAAAAAGTTCTTGCATACATTACGAGCATCATTCAGAAAAGGTCGTCGGAAAATTAACACCGGTAGAATTCGGAGGGATGATTTTCAGCCGAACTGCGAGATCGTTTCAACGAATTCATTCCCCTCAACCGGAACTCGTTAATTGTTCTGATTTTCGCGACTCGCCCGCACACGTAATCGTAATTAAAATCGGCTTAATTTCGCCTCCCCAGTACAAAAGATAACCCACCCGTAATACCTACGTATCCAAGATAAAAATAGAAAAAGTTAAAATATAAAACGAAAGGAATATCTCTTTTAGATATTTTCGTCTCTTTCAAGAATATTTTTGAGATGAACATCTTTCACTCTTAAACAGTTAGATACGGACGACATTAAGATATCTAAATGCGAGAGGGAAAGGTTCAAATTACATTGTACAACCCCCGGAAAAGATCGTCGAGTTTAATTTTTGTTTCTTTTTTTTTCCTCTTTGGCGAAGAAACCCACGTTTTCCGGCGTTAGGACTGGAATAAAAGGATCGTACCAACTGGAATTACCGCAGGGATGTTGTTTTCTATTATCGAGACAGTTCCCGAATACATTAGCAGGAAAACCCCGAAGGAAAACTCTTCTTACTTCCAACATTATCCTCCATATATCAGTTGGGTAAAACAACTTTTATTTTCTCCCTATTAAAACTTATTGATCTTTTCTGTAATTCTCTTTTTGATTTAAATAAAAAAGAACATGTTTGAGTTTTCTTTTCAATAATCGAAATCCTTTGGATGCTACAATTCGACTAAACGTAATTGGGGAAATGGGGTGTTCGGAATTTTCTCACGTACACGGCGGTTTAATGACGCTAATTGGGACTTTGCAGCGACCTCTACCGCGTTGGCCCCGTCGGCAGTGGTCAGCCGTGCAGTATTCGCGATAATTGTTCGCGTGTGTACTTTCGTCGGGGTTTCGGCGTTCTGTTTTAGTTGGCTTTAATACCCCCCAATGGAGGGGAAGAGGCGGTTGGCGCGTCGGAATGGCGCTTTGCTAATTGTTCCCGTAATTAGAGGACCTCTGAAAAAGTTTAATGGACTCCGGGTGCCACGCACCCATTTTCTCTCTCTCTAAAGAATTGTTTTCGTCAAATTGAAACTGTCAAAACAGTTCTAAAAAGAAAAATTCGACTAAAAATTGAACGTCGAAATTTTTCATTACCAAAAGGGTCAGCTTGAATTTCAATGGTCCATTGATAGATTATCAAATTCCCGTATGATTTGTCTCCTAATTCGTCTAATAAGTCAGCCGGGCCTAGGGTTCTCTCCGTTCCGGAACCGGGGAAACCCCGCGGGGGTCGTACTGACAAATAGGCAGAGACGACCGCGCCCTCTGGTAAATGAGTTATCCCAGGATTATGCATGATTTTCGCCTCACCATCACCCCCTTTCCCCACCGACCAGGTTCGGAAATTGTGGCGCGGCTGACCGCGCCAGAGGTCCCACGCTTCTCAAATTGAATTACAATTGATATATGTATTAAATTCCATGAATGTCGGCCTAAACGAGGCCAATTTTGTGCCGAGTACCGTTTTGATGGAGGGGTGTATAATGAATAACCACGGCATGGTAATGTATAGCTAAAAGGAAAATTATTAAAACAACTGTACCAATCAATTCGATAGATTTTATTAACATTTTTGACTTTTTAAATAGTCGATGCAAATAAAAATAAAACGAAACAAATGAAAGTGGACAAAGAAATTGTGGTGACTGGCGGGAACTCGATGATACCAGCAAAGGTAGTAAATATAATTTGTGCAAATATATGGCTAAAGGGCTAATTGGCTAAAGGGCAAATTGGCTAAACACCTCTGTGTGAGCAACACAAAATGATTTCAACAAACCCATGAAAACAGACAGCAGCAATGACGAAATAACACTACTGAAAGCATATACGCAGCCTACGAATTATGGTCAAGACGAAGAAGAAGACAATGAATCGCAAAAAAATTGATCAGAAAATAAGATTCTGCTAAGAATAACAGTAGCAGAAGTACTAATAAGGAAGTTCAACACTGATTCTAGTAATGATAAAAGCAGAAAAAGTAGGTAGAACTCCGAATATCCATATAGGTAGGCTACTACCTGCTCATTGCCACCACATCCTCCCCGGAAGATGAGGTCCAACATTTTCGCCATCGTTTTGGTGGTGTTTTTCTTCTTACTGGGTTATTCATTTTTGCGTTATCAACGAATCTGTAGTCTTCCATTCTTTTAATATGTTTATCCCAAAATCTTCGTCTTTGTCTCACCCATCTTCCTACGCTCTGTACTCCATTGTTGTCACATCTTCGTTCCGTATTCTCTCGTGCAGAGTTTTGCCTTGAATATTTCTTAGTGATTTCATTTCGACTGTTCTCATCATTTGTAGAGTCCTGCTTGTATCTGGTCTTCTTTTTACCACGTATGCTGTGATGGCTGTTATGGGAAGGTTTTTTATTATTTTAGCCATTATCAGAATAATCCTTGTGTTTAGATATAGAACGCGCCGAAAAAAGAAGTAGCAACTAAACTCTATGTTTCACATAAATTACGCTATTTTGACACATACGATGTAGATCATATAGAACATCACAATGAAAATGACAATAATGCTTAAAGAAGACTCTGCCGCCAAAAAAGTTTGAAACATCAAAAAGATTGCAGAGAGAGCTTTGAGTTGAAGTTCTCAAATCAGCTTCCTTGGTATTATCTTAAACAATTTATTAAAACTTGATTCACCTCTTCTTGGCATAACATTCAAATGAAAATTTAGATCAGATAACCACTATAAATATAGATTTCGTAATCAATAAACCTCATTATAATTAACATTTCAAGAAGCACCCTGAGTTCTTGAACGATAATGAGAGGAGAAATTGCTAAGAGAAATCTTTAAACTTTAACAAAATGCTTTCTAAGAGTATCCCATGCTTTTTGCTGTGGTAAAAATAAACTGAACAATTCGTTGTATTTTATTTTGCTTTAAAGTAGTTTATAGAAGATTTATCTTAAGATTAAAATTTTAGACCTAAATAGTCCTTATTTTCGACAAGTGATGTTTACAAAAAAAATTATTTCTTGTCAAGGCAGAGTACGCGGAATTTATCAATCGTTCTCGTAAAGTTGTTTACCCACGATACGACTCTTTTCGCATCCGAGACCATATATCATTACAGGAAAATCTGAAAAACATATCAAATGTACCTAAGGTGCTTCGCCAAGCTGAAGTTTACGTACAATTAACTTCATCTACAAATTATTTCTGTAAATATCAATTTATATAAATAAAATTTATACGGGTATTGCCAACTCTTTCTCCTTGCTTTATTCATTCCCATACACGTTAATTTTGGTAATTACTACAAACAACAGTGAGTGACCTGTATTTAAATATTCTTGTATAAGTAACTTTCAAAATTCGAAGGTATGAGTTGGAATGTGTATTCCAAAGCAAATGTTGCTTGTGGCAAATACCTAGCTACAAGAGTACAGCTAGCAGTCAAAATCCTGGTAGTCTGAGACAATTATCTCACTAGAGACCTGAAAATGTTGCAAAAAGATTGTACTAGATAACCAGTTTGATAAAACATTTGATGATTATCTTCAAGATGCATGGAGCATCTTCAAACATCTCGATTCAAAACTCGATCATTACCAATTCTTCCAAAGAACCTCATCTACCAACATATCAACCTCATGTGTTTGTAAATAACCTCGAAACTTAATGAAGTAGTAGTAAGTATAAACGATTATAAATGCAAGCTTTACCGTGTTTCTTTAGATTGGAATATCAACTTCAAACTATTTATCTGGCAAAATATAAAAATCTTGATGTATTCATTCCATTATTCAATTTATTAAAGCTAAATGTTCTTAAAACTTATTTTTTAAATAAATATCATATACGAAAATGTTTTGTACACATAGAGCCCCCTTGTAATGAAACGCAGAACTACTCCACCATAAACATACTGAAACCTACACATTTCAATCGATAATTCCCATAGAATCTAAAACGCAAATTTTCCAAAATCACTAATTCCTGTAACGAAATAAAAAGTATAGATCTCTACTCATTCAAAAGTTAATTCTTGATTTTTGCAGATGTCACCAGATGTTGTTATGAAAAATCGAAGGGTGAATCTCTGCAATTTTGGAGCTTTCGCTGAATTCATCCAAAAGGGGTCTCCCTCGGATCCCCTTTCGCGTAAAGCTCTCGTCGTTCAATAGGCGGCAGTCCGCGTGAAGCTCTACCTCTTGGTGCTATGCAGCAAGTCGAGCAGTCTGCGCCAAAGTCTGCATATCAACCGGCTCAATTGCTCAACGTTCGACGCTAGTGCAACAAGCTTTATTCGCGCGGTGCAGCGACCATGTTTTCGCGAAAGCTCACGGGAGCTTTCGGTCGGTACGAGATCTAGCAGAGAAATGACGGGGAACAATTAATAATTTTAACGGCTGTCCTCACCTAAATGTGATTATAAGAAATGGTGAATTACTACTCGGTAAGAATTAATTTTGCTGTAATAATTAGTTTAATTTAGAGTTTTTGAGTGACGTTTCTTTTATTTTGTTGTAAAGCTTAGAAACCTTAGAATTTTTGTTACGGTAATTAATCTAGTTATTTCGTAGAAAGAGAAATAAGGTTTCGCGTGCGTTTTGATGGTAGTTTTTTATTTGAAATCTGGAAAGGTAGGTAATAAGTCGCGGACCTAAGGGAAAGTGGGAACGTATCGTTCAATCTTACCACTACCCTTACGGTTATCGTAAGCTTGAGGGTAAACTTGTCGAATCGATTACTTTTTTTCTACATCGTTAACTTGTACCCCCTTTTCCTCGTATATTTCGTGGGTAGTTCACGCGGCAATCAACATGTTATTAGTTCATTTTTGAATCAAATTTTCTTTTTTGCGTTAATAATTCAAAAATATTTTTTATGGCAGATAATTACACGTAGTATTCATTTGTTATAGGATAACGATATGATCAACATTTTTTTTATTACTTATTTATTTTAGAAACCAAAATAATAGTGATAAATCAAGTACCAAAAAGAAATGGATTGGGCCTATAGCGGTGTGAATAAAACGGTGCCGAGAAACGCAGGTCCGGAATGTGCGAATTTCCTAAATCCCACGTGGCGACGTTTAGAAACGGCAATCGTCTTGGTGATGGCAGCGGCCGGGATTCGATGGGCATTCGCAAGGATAACTTTACCCGAAGCCGCCTATGTCAGGAGAGACAGAGGTGGACGTAGGACGCTTCTCGTCCTCATGTCCCTAATTTGGGGCATGGAAATAGGCTATAAGTTCTCATCGAGCACTGTGATATACCTGCTGAATCCCTGTCACGTTGCTACTGCAATACAGGTAATTTTGCTTAAATAAATTTTGCATAGGAATATATAATTTTAAATTTTGGCACTGAAATTAGGTAGTCATTAAAAGTAGATTTAGATTATCTGCATTGGCTTATATGCTATTCCTGGTGGGGGTATTGATTCAATGCTTTTCACTCGACGCGGTTTTACTTATGCCGGTCACTGAGGAGTGCCGATTTTGGGCAGTTCCTGCAATGCGTTGAATCCCATCAAAGCATCTTTCCATCATCAAAATCAATCAATTTCATAATTTAATTTACTTTTTACTACTCCATCATAAAAGATACAAACTATCGATTCCACATATAATTTTATGACTTGCGTCAGTGGCAATGGTTATTAACTCGCCGATGACCTTCCGCGATGACGTACAACTTTCTTTCATCCATTAAGAATTCCTAGATAAATCGATTTGTACCCATGCATAACCCATTTTTATTTTAATTAATTATTGTTTTCAGATCTACTTATTAGCTGCATCTCCAAATAAAATGGTGACGGCTGTATTCAGGTTTCATCTTAACCTGCTGAATGGACCATTGTTAGCTTTCTTGTTTCCGGAGACGGATTCACGAATTGTAAGTGAAAACAATTTTATTGTCTCGATGTTTATTCATAAAATAATTATTTAATTATAAATAAAAGATACGCATACCAATAAAATAAGTCGTGTAAATGGGAGTGGGTTGGGTTTGGGTTTCGGAAATAATTGATTGGCAAATACAACGGCATTTAACACGACATCAAAGCATTTTTCTCCGCAGTCTGAATGACGCAATAGAATATTTTTTGGAATATTTCATCTATCACGCAAATGTGTAGCAGCTGGAGTTTAAGTCAAACAGCATATTTTTCTGAAAACTCGTATTCGAATCGGATTATTTATATTATATTTTTCTTCTCTCTCCAACATTTTCCCAGAATTTCTAGAATTGCACTTTAGGTGTTTCCGATCTTTTGAATACCTACACCGATAATGATCTAACAGTGGTTTGACATTGAAATTATGTCAGAATCCTTCTATTTGTGGAAATGTGTACAACCAGTTATCGAGACCAAGCTTTGTTCCTCTTAGCAGTAACAAAGGTTGACTTTGAGCATCGATTACTGCTGAAAATAAAGTCTAAATTTGAAAGAAATACTTATCAGAATCTTATAGAATTAAGAATTGAAAAGTGACACTTACAGCTTATATTATCGTTTGAACGTCTTTAGTGTTAGCTCGTACTTTATTTCATCGGATTATTTTTAGGTAAGATTCTTAAGATGTGTTATCACTGCGCCTTTGAAATTGGATTTTTTTACCTTTATCCGACTACTCTGTGTAGTAAGTTCTTGTTTCACCAAATTGCTTGAATTGCACCCTCATCTGTTCCAGGGTGCGGGTGCCTTCTGGAAATGTTACAAATGGTGAGCGTTGATCTTCATGAGTGGTTTTTATAGAGCGAATTTGTATGCGGACTTGTGTCCTAGTTCATATTTAACCTACGTCAAGGCCTCTGTCACCTTTCTTCTCCTTTTTGGTTCAGTTTGTGCATATCTGTTACACATATTTTACTTTAAATGTGTTATTATTTTCTTTCTCACAAAAGAGTCTTACAAATTTCGCCTTTGATATTGGTGAGTGTGTCTCCATATCAAAAACTTCGTTTGAATACGATACTTACGCCCCTGTTTTTCTCGTCAATATGTGGTATGTAAATTAAAACACTTGAGATGCAGCATCTAAAGAGGTAGGTAAATACTTAAACGCTATTACTACAAGTTTGCACTCAATACGGTTGTATCGAGTACTTCGTGCAATAATTTTTCCTAGCGCGTCTAAAAATAATCAATAACAACTTAATGTAATATTGCGCGTAGAATTTAGCCCTTGTGCGTAGAGATTATCCTTGTGGTGGACAGATCGTGTGATCAGGGCAGAGTAAGATTTGACTCACACTACCATTAATCAGATTTTGACTAAGAGGGAGCACGCTTCTTCATATCATCAACATCAACGAAGTACCTAGGTATAGCATTTAACTTCCTCACGTGAAACACTCTTTAGGATTTAATTACTGCCAAAGTAATTCCTACAATTCTACGTACCCTTGATGACATAACATTTTGGTCATCCAGAATCATTTCAAAATCCAAAATCAACCTCAAACACTATAGTTGCAAAATGGTTGCCCGATACCTCAAATGAAAAACCTTGCCAACCCAACCCAACCTAACACAACCGAACCCAAACCATGTAGCCAGAATCTCATTTGTTGAAAGCTATAGTATACAGTGTGCAGCCATTATAGTCGCCGCAGGGTTAACCATATACTTGCACTTGGTTACATTTTTTCACTATGACAATCAGATCACAAATTATATTCATTTGAGAGTATCGAGTAGCAGAAAAACGTCATGTTGAATCAACAAATGAGGTTCAGGCGACATGGGTTGGGTTGGGTTGTAATGAGTTAGGTTGGGTTGGCATCGATCGTTTTGGCTGGTAGCACTATTTTTCTTTGCTAATAATGATTCGGTAGAGTAATCATTGCTGTAACCTTGAGTTAATCGATGACAAGAAACCAAACAGGCGTAAGCAATAAAGTATTTTTAATTTCGCTCATAAAAGCATGTGAAACCACGAACTTCTGAATCTCTCCCATCACTTAAATGAAACGAACGCATTTAATTTTTCATTAATAACTCTGATTCAACTGGTCCTCATTGATTTCTTGCAATCTTTGCGTCCGAAATAACTCTTCGTTCCTACACTACACAAACTTCTCAAGCAGCCTTCAAGTTATCGCAACTTTTTATTCCATTCTATTCGAATTCAGAAATTTCTCCAGTTGAAAGTTTTAACGATGTTTGACTTTTTTATTGTTCTCAAGGCATTCCTAAAATAACCAATTAAATTATAATTCGTTATGAATTGAATACACTAAATATTGTAATATTTTCCAATCGATGCGGCATATGGGATGAAACCATTAATTACACTAACTGTAGTTGATGTTGATTTATAATATCCAACTAGACTGCGTAACATTGCACATGACAAAACAATACGGTTCTGTTATTAACTGATTTATAGCTAACAGATTTGTATCTGTAACACAAAAAGAACTTTTACCCTCTTTCCATAATTCACGATGTTGTTATTGATTGGGAAAGTTTGTCTTCCTCTTGAAAAATCAGAACGTAAATATCCGCAAAGGAAACGAGGACGTGGTTCCCTTTAGTATAGTTGGAAGGTCTCCAAGAAAATTTGACGCGACGATCCTTTTCAGAATGTATCACCCTATTACATGTTCATATAAACTTTTTTCCCGAACTAAATTTACGATGTCCTCGGTCATCACGTGAATTTTCCGTTTCAGTTGCCACTGGAAGCGGCAATTTACTGGATTCAGCACGGAATGATGTTCGTAGTGCCTTATTATCTTTTACGACTCGGAGGTACGCCTAGAATAAAGTATTAAGATTAAAATGAAACTTATTCTTTTTTTCTGTTTTTTTAGGGGTTTACAATGTAGAAGAGCTTTCGGATTTTAGTTGGAACGTTCTCAGCTACAACATAAATATTGTATATCATTTCGTTATTCTACAGACAATCGCCGCTGTAAGTATTTCGTGAATGACATAGCTTTTAACTTTTAGAAAAGTTTTGAAACTTTGAAATTTCGTATTCAAGATAACCCCTCCATCTCATTTATAATTCAACGGCGACGATTATAAAGCTTCCGCTTAAATTAGTTAGAATTAGTCACCATTAATAATAATTTTAGTAATCTTTTTCTTTTTTTTATCGTTTCAGCCAACTGAAGTAAATTTAAATCACATGCTCTGTCCAGCAATACTGGATCCGTTTGAAGGACCTTATTATAGGATTGCGGCTGTTGTACACCAGGCAATTTTATGCCCGTTGATATGTAAAGCATTCTGTTTGATATCGACGTTTTTTCTAACACAATTTTGGCCGACCAAAGTAAAGAAAACCCTGTGCTGCGAAGTTTACGCGCCAAATACAAACGGTGATCACTCACATCAACACAATGATTAAGAAAGAAAAGTATAACAAAAATTTGAAAGCGGCAATTTAAATTTTTCCTAGCCCAGTCAATAACATAACAGGTAAACGCGTTACTGGAGTCAATAACGTTGCTGTTTCTTTTTTCTTTTCTCAATCGGCGAACAAAACGAGCGGAAACAAGGATAATAAGATTATACATATTATATGAAACGGAAACTCGAGCACTTTATATTAAAGTAATTAAACATCGTTTTAAATGAACAAAAAATAATAACTTTAAGGGTTATTAATTAATAGGATGTACAGCAACAAAAAAAAATACAAGATTGTATACAAATTTTATGTTTTTAATGAGGATTTTTTTTAAGATCCTGTAAATAATTTATTTATTTTGTTTTTATTAGTGAAAATATTGTAATCAAAACAATTTGAATCTACCTGAAAAGTTTTAAACTTTAAATAACATTATATTTTTTTTAATCTTATTAAAAGTAAAGTAAAACCTCAATTTAAAGGGTTAATACGCGGAAGGGAGTGTCCGTTTTAGCCATAAGTGTAATTCTAGGTCTAGTGTTAGGTCTAGTAACAGTGCTAGTGCAAAATTAGAATTAATACTAGAGTTAGAACTAGAAGCATTCGGGTTTAGCCGCACGTGTCTCAAGACGGCCAAACCCGAATGATTCTAGTTCTAGGTCTAGTATTAGTTCTAGTGTCAAACTAGAGCTAACACTAGACCTAAAACTAGAAATTTTCAATCTTCAGACGCACGGCTAAACCCGAAACTTTCTCCTTCTAGGTCTAGTGTGAGTTTTAGTTCAATGAAAAAAATACAATAAAATAACGCTGAATAACAACTGATATAAGAACTAACACTAGCATTAGACTAATCCTAGAATTGGAAATATTCGGGTTTAACCATGCGTCTCTATTTTTAGTTCAATAAAAATATAGACCATTCTAACGAAGTCCGTTATATTGAGGTTATACTGTATTATTTAAAAGTATGTATTATATTTAAATAACGCGCCACGAAGCTTTATAATTAAAAGAATAAGAATAAAAAAAAACATACTTAGTAGAATCGGGTATACATAAATGTAATTTATTTAAAAATTTATGAATACCCAAATTAAGTTTCTTTAATTCTTAAAATATAACGAATCTAGTCGCATTTTGCAAAGAATAAAGATATAAAACAACTTTTCACAGTTTGCCTCACAACTTTTTATGAAACTAGAGGTTTTTCAAAAGAAAACATAGACATTCTATAATTAAATTAAAATAATAGCGGACTACTGATTGATACAAAAAATAGACTAGAAATTGCTACAAAAAATTAGAGTATTCAAAAATAAAATTTTCAGTTTTACACTTTAAATTGTTTAAATCCAACTCAAGAAAAAAAAAACAAAAAAAAATGAAACAAATTACACAATTAGCTTAACTTTGTACATTAATATTGCTAAAAGAAGTTTTTTTTTTGTATAATTATTTTAAGATTTGCAAAGGAAAATAAAATATATTTTGCAATAAAGATATTGAGTATTAGAATTAACGAAAGTAATTAATTAACGTTTTAATGAACGTTAATAACGATTTACTTTACGTAAGAATTAAAAGAAAAATGCGACAAAATGAATGAAATGTTATAGCAATACATAAAAAGTATTTTGAAATGATGAAAAGCAGGAAAAATACTGACAAGTAGTTAGCTCACATGTTATGAAAACTCACTACAATGTAACTAAATAATAAAGAGAAATAAAATTGTTTTCAAAAAGTTTAAATGTTGTCTTATTTATATTTTATACAATATAATTAATTAATTGATATTAAAAATAATACAATTAAAATTGGTGTATTTTTTCGATTCCCTCTTGCAGCATTTGTAATAGGTGGAAACAGCGGATACCAAATATCTTCAAACATCGGTCTTGTTCTCCCACAAAGATGTTGATACTTGGCTTGAGTGCTACATTTCAAATCTAGATCACATTTACTACAAGGTACTCCTTTCTCGAAAACTTTTTCACCAATTTTCCTCACCGTAGGAAAATAATGGCAAACAACCAGCGCAACGCGGATATTAAATTCCAAAAAAACAACCGCTGTACATCCAACATACTGAACTGGTCCTCTTAAAATTTCTTTAATCGCCAAATTATTTTCCAAATATTCGCTTATATTAATATAATCGCGCGCTTGAAAAAAGAAATAATCCAAACTATCAAATAAAATTTGTTCATCTTCCGGTTCGTTATCCTTTAAAGCTCGATGAAAAATCGTTTCGGCAACCAAACCATCCGCAACCGCTTTACACCGACTCAAATGAACTCTACATTGAGTCGCCCAACAATTCGACGAATATTGTAGTTCAAAACTATAACTTACCATGTGCATATTTGAGGCTTGGACGCCCTTAAATTCGTCACGTTCATGAAGACCTCCCGCAACGTTGTTTCGCATCACATTCAGTTTCATTACAAAATTTCTTAACGTCTCGTTACTTAACGGAATCGATTTAAATGATTCTTGACAAGATTTCGCCACCGAATTGTAACGACAACAATTGTTGATTTTTAAATCACATCTTGCTTTACAAAAATCTGTTTGATCGTAAACAATATTGATTAATGTAGAAAATGTGAAGAGTTTTATTAAATTTATCATATTTTAACTTAATTTTGACAATATTTTTTTGTTGTCATAAATTTTATTATAATCAAAAAACTCATAAAGTTTTTTCTTTAGTCGTAATAGATTTTAATAGATGGCGGTCAAGGGGGAAATTTAAAACTACAAACCAAAACATTAGGCCAAATTTCCTTTCTTTTTTTCTCGTGGTGCTCTGAAGAGTCGAAAGTCCTTCTTACTGCCATTTTTGCAACTCCAAAGACAACAAGACGGCAATATTTTTGTAAATAAGTGGTGACATATCACAGTATTGGTATTGCAATATGCGATTTGCGATAATGGTTGCATACTTGCAACAATGACGTCGGGTACGATAATTAATTAACACACTGTAGATAGCTATTTACTACTTAGCTTAGTGGCATCGATCTCCAGACTTATATTATATAGGAAATATTGTATTTATTATTATTAATAATGAAAATAAGGTAGAAAGATACCTAAAAATTGTAAATAGTAACATTTATTGCAATTTATATATTATACAGAGTGTCCAAAAAAAACGATAAAATATTACAGCTATACAACTTGATATTCGATTTGAAAATTTAAATAAAAATTAATAAACTAAATTAATTAATTAAAAGATATAATAATGTATACTGAAAATTGGTGAGGTAATGTTCGAACTGGAAATTCTGCTATCGGAGAGCAAAAAAATAAATCGAACAGTTTTTTGTTAAATGCAAAAAAAAATACGCGCAAAAAGCTGTACAATTTAAATACATATTTACAATTAATTAATTAAAATAAAACGAATGTTTTAATTTGGGAGAGAAAAAATTTTTAAAAACACACACAAATACAATAAAAACTTTCTTTTCACAGCCCATACGAAGAATAACGTTTTTGAAAAATTACCAATTTGCTGATTAGAAAAAAAAAGCAAATTTAGATTTAGACAGCTAAAAATTACGTAAACAAATTGAGGTAATAAATTAATTATTAATTGTTATAGCAGAATTACGAATGACACAAACAAAAAGTTGCTGAATAAAAAAAATAAATACATTCATAAAATACAACCTAGAATAAAACATTAAAAATTAATAATAAAATCTTTTTTATATATTCTCAACTACATTTTTAATGAGTCCCACATATTATGGCAATAAGCGATATTATAATGATTAGCTTTTTTTTATAATTGTTAAAACATCAATTTTATGACACATAATTTTTACAAATAAAATTACCATTTTTCCTTCCATTAAGTTAATTAATTGATTAATTTCTTTATTGTTTCAGTTATTATTATTATACAGAATATTCCAAATAATCCACCTATTAAAACAAATTTTAAACGAATATAAGTTTCGATTATCTGGGATGATTTACTACTCAAAATTGAGCTCGTACCAGTCTCGTGAAGGAGGCGTTTCTTTATAAAACGTATAAAACTATCATTTTCACCAAGCTCTATGTAATACGTTTATTACGATTTTTTAATTAACGTTGTGTTGCAGTCATTTTTGTTTTTACTTTTTCTTTTGTGAAGATAAAAGGCATCACGTGTGTACGGTGTTTTTTTTAACTAGTATTTTACGTGTACTTGTAACTTTCATGGAAGGTAACTTGTCGATTCAGACTATTAGTTCAGAGATTAATGATTATTTCCATTGTTTTAATTGTTTTTTGGCCGCTTATTGTCTACTGTAATAAATTATCTTTAATATTATCAAATTTCAGTACGGATATTTTATTAATCTATATTTATTAGCCAATTTGCGACCAAAATAATATCCAAATTTTAATTATTATTATGTATGATACGCATTTTTATAAATAAAACTGGTATCTAAACCCACAATCATGATAAGTCGGTGGAGGTAAATCATATATACAATCACACCCCCCATAAATTAATTGGAATTAATGCAAAAGCAAAAAATAATGTAAATAATTAATTGCAAAAAGCTCAGATCAAAAAATAAGTGATAAAACTACTATAAAAATTAAGATCTATTTTTTTGTAATAAAAATAAAATTGTCCTAACTCTTTTTTTAATTATTCTTTTAACTCTAAGCAATTGTAATCACAAATGAAATGACTATTAAACCACATAGAATGTCCAAAAATTTGTTAAACACTCCTAAGTATATCATAAATTATCATAAATCTATGTAAAAAATGTAAATGAGTTTATGCTGTACTCGAATTATGAGATGTCCCACTTATAGCACTAAAAAGTGCCATACTATTCCTTTTAAAACTTCCCGTGTCATCGTGAGGCCATAAAGACTCCCCAAACATGGTTGATAATGACATACAGAGCCTCTTGTAATTCTGGCGTAACATATCCTGGTATTCTTGCTGCTCTTGAGAAATTATTTTGCTATTTATTTGCAAAGCAGCATAACAAATTTCGAGAAATTTCCTAATTTTAACAAAATAATTTATTTTCTTGATTTAAAATCAAAAATTATTTTAACTTACCGATAAATATCTTTTAATTCCTCCACTTTGTCTTCGGGATACAAACCTGATTGACTTGTATCCAGAAAAACGGAAGCGTAAGCCATCGGGCCTGCATTAACTTGAACGCAGACGCTTCCCTGAAGTCTTAATTGCAATTTCTTAGCGTCCGTGGGTTGAGTAAATACAACTTCTTCTAATTCAGACACTCTCGTTTGCATTTCATCAATTGCTACTTCGATTGGAGTTAATTCAGTTATTTTTCTATTAATTACTTGAACGCGTTTTTTAACATAAGGAAACGAATACTCAGCTAAAAAACAACATAAAACTTGTTAAAAATTTGTTAAATAAAAATAAAATTAATTACTCTTTAAAATTGTTCTTCTTTTCCATTGTTCCTCAGGATTTCCTTGACTTTTACCATCCTTAGTAAATGGTGTTTCAAACATAAAATGAGATATATCATGATTTTGTTCAAATTCGGTTTGTCGTTCCTCAAGTTCGTCCTTTTCAAAATAAGGGGTAACGTGAGTAACTTGAATGTAAGCGTATCGTTGATCTAAATCCGATTGAACGATTGTATTCGAATCTTGAATCATTTTAACAACATCTTGCCCGAATTTCTCACAATACTGTTTATAAAGTCTTTCTGAAATTTCGCTCAAAGTGGTCACTTTCGGTTCTTTATAAACGTACTCAACCCCACTATCGTCTTCAAAGTACATTTGACCGAAAAATCCAACGCGATAAAATCGCCCTAAAAGTCGTTTTCCCGATTTATTCGCATCGAGAATTTTTCCGTAATTTTGAGCCAAATTTTGATACGAAATTTTTAAATATTCGTAATTACGCTTTTTCTCGTAAATTGGAATTATTAATCGATATAATTCCCCGAGTAATTCGTAACGTTCTGATTTATCTATGTAACCTACACAAGCTTCTAATTGTTCTAATAGTAAGTATTCGGTGTATTGAATATCTTGAACGCCAGCATCCAATTTTAAACCGCGTTCATCTTTCGTTATATTCGATGATATGTTTGTGAAGGCTTCCGCTCCCCAATTTTGAATATTTTTTAATTTTAAATATTCAGCCATTAAAGCGGCTATGTGTAATTGACAACAGGCAGCCTAAAAAATAATTAAATCAGTTATATCGATTTGCAGTATTAGAAAAATTTACCTCTGAATAATTTTTATCTTTAACATGATTTTTAGTCATTGAATCCAACCAAGTATGTCGTAATTCCGGAGTAGAAGCATAAGAATTAGCTAAACTATGTTGTAAATCAACCAACATTTCGGGATCATGATGATGTTCCCGCATTTGGGCTGTTGCCATTAAAACCGTCCGAACTCTTTTAGTTAAATCTTTAACCTCGACGGGAAACCCAGTTCCTTTCATTGCTTTATCGCTTGTAGCATAACTATTAATCAGCGACAAACTTTCTTGGAATCTTGCGTTATTTAAACCGACGACGTTCCCTAACATTTGAGAGACTGATATGATAACTTGTAAATGCATGCGAGTTAAACCTTTTCTTCCGGTGAATTCGAAATTGCTTCTCATTAAAAGGTAAAGCATCGCGCATGATTCTTGTCGAACTGACGCTAAGCGGCTGTTACAACATTTTAATAATTCGTAACATAAACGCCCGCATAATCCGGCGCTTCCCTTAAATAAAACGACGGAGTAATTGTTAATAAAAGCGCGCATTCCCGCAAAAACGTGTTTAAATAAATTCTCGCTTTGACCAATTTGCACAAAGGTAATATAAATATCGAAGATTTTTTTCATTGTCGGATTATTCCCATCATTAACCAACAAGTTATTCCGAAAATTCATACAATACAACCCAAGGCAATCTAAAACAATTAACCCAATTTCGTTCGTTAAATGTTGTTCTAAAATTGCTTGTTGTTTCTTTAAAACTTCGTTTTCAGAGTGAACCAAGCTCTCTTTTTCGCGAGTATGTATAATTAAAGTTCCAGTGGTTTCATGATTAATATCGGATGGATTCATCCTCGCGGGTAAAGTATGCGCTTTAGCAGATCGATTTTTAATATTATCTGAATTCGTTGTTTTAACAACGGCCACATTTTTCTTCCCAACGTATTTAAAACAATGCAAACTAATTTGTAACGATGAGAAAAAATTTACAACATCCATTTCAGCGCATTTTTGCCACCAAGAAATTAATTGGGAATCCCCTAAATACTTTACGACAAATAAAAATATTATTAAAATATCTTTCACTTCGGCGTGATTTAATTTATCATAACGATGAAAATGAGATGATTGAGTCGCGCTTACTCCCCTCCTGTGAGTTTTTACATCGCCATTTTTTAATTCGTGACTTTCTCCACGAACGATCGTCGTTTCTTGAGACACAACTGATTGGTTATCACCGGATAACGTTGAAACGTCCGATTCTAAACTTAAAGAACTAAATCCGTTCGAAATATTGTTTTGTCCGGCAATTTCGTCGTAAAACGTTAAATTTTTTAAATGCATCGGACTATCTTGGTGAAAAGTATAACGATTTTGCCTTGAAACGACTTCATTACTACTTGAAACTGTACTACAACGATTCGAAAATAAATAAGAACTACTTGTTGAAATCCGATTTATCGCACTTCCCCCAAATTGATCATCTAATTTCTCATTAACTTGAAATCGGGTTAAGTTTTCTAAAACAATTCCTAACCATGGCACATAAATCAATGCGATTCGACTCATTTGCCCATTTTTTTGATAACGATCATCCATCTCATGTTTTGCTAATAAATCTCTTAAAGTTGTTAAAGCAACCTTTCTTACATGAGATATTTCATTCAACGACGTTTTTACTTCTTGCAATAATAAAGCCACTATAAAATGATGTTTACAAAAATCTTCTGAAAGGCAAAATTCTTGTAAAAAATCAGGTGATCGATTTTTCGGTGATAATCTCGTGTGTTGAATCGGTAAATTAAACGCTATATAATGTTCGTGGCTACAAATAATTTCGAGAAAAACAAATTTGTATTCTTGAAGTACGCGGGAATCCCCAGGATTAAATTTATCCATGTAAGAATTTATTAATTTAAAAACAAATCCACGGTCCATTAAAGACAAACATTTCTTTAAAAAGGTTCCAATACTTTTATTTAACTCTTGAGTTTCTTCTGGCATATCTTTAAATTTATTTAAAATGTATGAAGTTAATATTTTAACCATATTTTCGATTCTATCCAAATAATCTTTTGAGAAACGTTCGTTTCGATGCATTTTAATTCTTTCAGTTGTCAATAAATGTTGTGCCATACTTTTTACGATAACATCAAAAAAGAATAACGAGTGATGCATAAATTTATTAACAACCAAAAAATCTGTATTGGTCGGGTTTAAAATAACCGGTAAATGTTTGCACATTTCTTCGTGTACAGAAACAGATTTTTTACACTCAGGGGTTACAAAAACATACTTCACGTACGATTGAAGTACTTCTTTACGTTTCGCCTCATAAACCATATTAACCAAATTAATTAAAACTCGAATTATATTTAATCCGATTTCGTCGCTATTCGTTGCTACCAATAACGTAAAAAGTTGATTCAAAAGTGTTGGTAAAAATGTTATTAAAGTTGTTAAATGAATCGCGTGTAAAGCTTTTATTATTTTGCAAGTTTCACTTTCTTGAGGTAATGATGAAGGTTTTGGATTTAATAATCTTTCAGCTAATATGAAGAGATTATAAAGGTGTTGGTCCCGTGTGTTTACAGTCGAATGCAAATTAAATTCAACGGTGAATATTGAACGTTGCGAATCTATCCACGTTATTTCAGGTCCAGCATTCTAAAACAAATTAAATTATAATCATTATAATTTAATTGTTTTTATTCTTACCCCTTTTCCTAATCCGAATGGATGTATCGATAAATATCCGGGTAATAATTGCGCAGCAACCGGAATATGTTGAATTTCAACATTCAATTTTCCCTTCTGTAAGAGTGGTAACCAAGCGTATCCTACAATACTTTCAACTCCATTATCCTTTTTCTTGGCGATATCGCAAGAAATGTGATAAAACGTAAACAATAAATGATGATTATTGTGTAAATGGATCGGTAATCGGATTTTAATTTCTTCGTACCAAGTTGGAATTGTATTATGATGAAGGACTGCACAAGAAACTTGGGAGACTAAAACATTTTGACCTGGACGTCCATAAATGTACTACAAAAACAATAAAGTTATTAAAAAAGGTTATCCAGGGCGCGGCAAAATAAAATAAGTGATTTTCAGGCGGTATTTCCACATAGGAGTATTTCAGAATTCTACGCGGCCAAAAGTGAATCCCACAAAATTAGAAAAACTAAACAGGCCAAATTTAGAACAAAAACTAAATTGTTTAAAAGACCAACTTTTGCCAAATCCGAAGTGAAATCAAGATGGGCCATAAAAAGAAAGACGTTTTTCTCAAAAATAATCACCTCTGGTTGGAACATTCGAAATTTCCATGGTTACGCAATATCGGCAAGGTCGACGTCGAAAATCATTTGGAGAGTCGAGTGAAAGAAGTAAAGGAAGAAAAACAGAGGAGCTACGTTCCACTTTAGAAGACAGAATTGTGTGAGTGTTATAATCTTATACAGTAAGCAAAAAAAGAGTGTTATCCGCCCCCGGAAACGTGCACAGCGTTAAAATCCAACTGCAACCTTTAGTCGATATTACCGTTAAATGCTTATCTGAATTCTTTAAAGAAAATAATAGTAGATCAAGAAAGGGATACATTAAAAATTATATGTAAATCGGGATGTAATAGATCGCAGCAATCACAGTTCAAGCAAAAATTTGACGAGGAAGCTGATTCAGATGCAAATATTTTTCAGAGCTGCTTAGTACCTGTGCGATTAGTTTGTGGCAAAGACTTTGAAAGAGTACTATGAGAAAATCCAACACCTTCTTCTGCACGATTCTGCCGCTAAATTTGATTTCGTTTCGTCAAAGAAAATACTGAAATACGTCCAAAATATCTTAAAGTCTTTAACCACAACTGAGGTTGATATTGATGGGAAGAAGTTTTTCGACAAACATCTGTTCATAATGACAATGGTTGGCGGAAAAGTCTGCAACGCATCTACTGGCACATCTATAATTCGTTGCTACATTTATGGTGCGACATCCAAAGACTTTAACCAACTAAATAACAAAAAACTAATTTTATTTGAAGCTATTGAATTTGGGCTGTCAATTTTACATGCAAAAACTTATGTTTTTCGAAAGCATTCCATTTGGCATACAAATTGCCCAGACAGAAATACAGAGAAAGAAAACCAGAAAAGAAGAAAGAAATGGAAAGAGAGGAAAATAGAAATACAAGCCAAATTTTGCAAAGAAATACGAGCAGATTTTATGGGGATCCGAAATTAGCCTCAGAGATTACAGGCATCAGTTACAAGTTAATTTATAGGTTGAAAATCATACTGGAAACCATTTCAAGCTGATTCTTCATAGATGTGGAAAAATACGACAAATATGCACTGGAGGCTGCTCGTTTATATGTCGAATTGTACCCTTGGCATCCAATGACACCGACAACCGCAATCATAATAAAAAATGCATTACTACCTATTGGTCAACTATCTGAGGAGGCAGCAGAAGCGCGCAACAAGCATTTTAGGACATACTGCCAAAACTTTTCAAGAAAATTTTCTAGAGTCCTTTAATAGAGATATATTCAACAGACTTCTCTCATTAGCACAGCAAACCCCAATGGTTCTTCCACCAAAAAATGATGAAGAAGGAGGAAGTTATTTCTAAAGAAGATTAATTTGTTATTTTTTCCTTCCTCAACCATATTTATCATAAAATAAACTATTATAATATCCTTTATATCGTTTAAAAACCTTCGCCAGCAACCTAAGTAATAAAAAAAAAATTGGCCGCGTAGAATGCTCAAATATCCGTATATGGGGTGGTAATAATGTTATTAATGTCCGATTAAAGGTTAAAAATAAAAATTAAATTAAATTACCGGTAATCCTACTGCATTTGCAGTATCTTTATCTCTCACTTCAACAACGCACGCAATATTTCGCGCCCTAGTAAACATTTTTTGTGTGTCAAAATTTAAAGTATGAGGATAAACGTAAAGGTGATTTATAAAGCTTGTGTAAGGATGAACGTCTTTTTCTGAGAGGCTTTCGAATTCGGTTATCTCAATTGTTGGTTCGTTCGTTGCCGGAATCGGAAATGGTTTTAAAGGAGATAACGAAGTTGTTAAACAATCTAAAACAAAACAGGAAAATTAAAAAAGTTTTTATAAAATATTTGATTAATTTTACTTTCAGGAAATTCGCTTAATGGTTCGATTTTAATCCGTAAACTTCCGGGTATCACAGTTAATTTACTGAACTTATCCGGTTTTCGATATTCAGCGAGAAGTTTTAAAAGTTCTTCGTCGGTTAATTTATTATTTTCTTGGCGGTAAATCGCTGGGAAATCTGGTGTTGTATCTAATTCGTTACTGTACAACCTAAAAAATATTTTTAATAATTTTTTTTATTTCTAATAATTTTTTATTTACCGAAATAGTGGTTTTGCAGACCAAGCAAACGGCATTCGATAAGATCCTAATCTCTGACAACTCGCTATAACACTCCTATAAACTTTCATAGCAGCTTTAGGATCCTTATTGACTTTAATGTAAGGTTCCGCAGCTTGATATATCCCACCCTGTAAAACTTTTTCGATTCGAACAACCAAAAAAATATCAGGGTGAGCGTTTGTAATCGACATTAAAGCTTGTCGGGGATACAATAACCACTCTCTGGGTAAATTCGATGGTAAATCAATGTTTAAATCGATTCCTTTACAATCCCCCGAAGCTAAACAAGAAGTAAAGATACCACGAGCTGAATTGGTGTTGGCGTCAAAATGAAAATTCTCAGTCAATTTGCGTCCGTTTTTAGCGTCATAAAGACATAAAGTTGTGTAATATGGTTCGATTTGAGATGGATCTCTTTCATCTAAAGGCGCTTGGAGTTTAAAAGAAATTGTTTCACATTTTAATAAAACTCTGTGACCAAAAACTTCTCGATATGGTTCGATTTGATCGTGAGAAGGTGGTGGTTTATTCATTATTAAATGAGGATATAAAGTAAAAAGTTTTGAACGATTTTCTCGCCTTGACATAGCTATACTTGTGTCAGTTTCACGTGCGTATTTAATTAATTGAGGATTCATGCTGTGTTCTAAACCTTTTAAGGTTCCGTAAGGTTGTGGTTGAGTTTGTGATTGAACTGGTGAATTTCGATCCCTTTCTAAAGATCCAGCTCGTTTTTCTTCTTGCGCTTTATTTTGTTGAAGAACCGAAACTAACTTAGCTAACCAATCTTTAAATTCCGACTCATTATCCGCCGCCAAAACGTACGATTTTTGACCATCAGTCATTCTCAACTCAAAGCAAAACCTTCCCCTTTTACCATTTTTAACAACTTCCGTACACAAATCCATAACAATCGTTAATTTCGCTTCGCCTTTTCGTTCATCTTTAAACATCTCTAAAATGTAAGTTCCATCGACTTCTTGTCGTAGATGACAATAACGCCTTTTAAAACTTTTTGATCCGATATTAATTAAGATTTTATCCGAACCAATTTCAGGTCCTTTCATTAAATAACCTTCTTTAGTTATACTATCAGTTTGCGATAAAAAATCTTCGGGGGCATCATTTTCTATATCGATTTCATATATTTCTTCTTTCAAATTATCCGAGTTTAATGAATTTTTTGGGAGATCCGCGTATGAACCCGAATAAGCGCTATATTTATAATGAACCAAATTCCAATTCGATGAGTAATTATTTATGCATTGTTTCGTTAAAAGGTTACAGTCTTCCGTTTCTTGTCGCGTGGGTACAGTTGGATTTGTTGTACGATAACGACGTGGAAGTACCACTTGCTATTAAAACATTTATAAATAACTTTAATTTTCTCGAAATAAAATGTTGAACTTAAAAAACTTACTGAAATATCATCGGCTGGATATAATAAGAGCTCTCGTTGAGAATCATTTTGTAAAACTGTTTTATTTTTTAATACAAAGTTCTCAAAATCAATTGGTTCTACCAAATGTGGTTTACTCTGAAAACATATTCAGTTTAGCTTTCTATTGCTGAACTTATTTTTCAACCTGCATTAAAAAGAGATCCGAACGATGCACGTTTGTGTCTTCTTGATCTTACGCGAAAACTTCGTAAACGTCACCAAAGCTTTTATAGTGGGGATTTTTAATTTTATTATTAATTATTGCAAAAATTAAACAATTTTAAGATCCGAAAATGTTACCAATCCTTCTATTTTTACATAGTTTATTATTTCTATTCGATTGAGGGTAACGGCCCCATTCGACACAACACGAACTTTTTCAATGCTACTTTCTAAATAAATATTTGACGATTTTTTATTTTGGCTAATATTTCGTTTTTATTATTGCAGATAGTGTCAAAAAGCACCCAAATATGCGTTTCTTGTTTCGTGCATTGAATAGATATCAATTTACACCAAGTATCACAGGATATAGCAGATTTGATAAGGTAACTAAAGCCATAGAGATCCGCAAATAATACCCAGATACAGATTGATTCCATAGCTTATCATTTATAGAGACTTCATGGGAATTTGAGAAGTAAATAACAAACACAATGTATAGGCATCATTTACATTAAAAACAACTTTCACCAATACTTGTTCAGCTGTGATTTTGTGTACACACAAAATTTACAGCAATTTTATTGCCAAACCATAAACATGTTGGGTTTGTAATATTTACTTGCTATGAGTTGCTGTAATATCAGTAACTTGAAAATTAAAAAAGGGAATTTGCTATAACATGTACAAATTCAATATTTATTTTTTAGGAAATACAAAAAGGTGTGGTACTGCCCTATTTTTCCTTATAGATAATTATTATTTTACCAATAGTTATAAAAATTACGACATTTTTATAACATAACCTGAAACTAATTTTATTTTGACATTCCATAAATTTTTAACTTTTTTCATCAATTAAATTTCCACGTAAATCTCCCCCTACTTTCTAAATCGATGCCAAATCGCGCGCAAAACGCAAAACTCGTTCGACCTTTATTTTAAAACCTAATCAACACATACATTTAAAAAAAAACTTTCAAATGGCATACATCAGCTTTAAATGTATGTAACCTTGTTCGCTTTTAAATTAACCACTTGTGTCTCGTCTAAATCTGTAAATAACAATCGAGATTACCGTAAAAAAACTTACTTGTGCGGTTGTCTCGCGTACAACTTGCGAGACCGTTTCGCGAAGTTGTGCCGCGGTCCCAGGTTTGCCCAGGTTTCGGGCGAACCTTCTCTCACTCATTTCCCCCTATTTAACCACTGATTTCTCTCGGGCCCCTTTTTTCAGTGTTCACACCGCGATCTCTTTACATCGATAAATGGGAATACACCCATGGTTACTTTGGGTTTTTAACAAATAATAGTAAACAACACGCTCGAATGACACACAGTTTGACATTTGACATGTAATTGAAGATAGAAGCAAAACCTGTTTTTGAAAACGAAAGTAACTAGACGGAACCTTCGCGTTCCGTGCATTTAATTGTCCTCCTTTTTGTGATGTTTATTTTTGGATAATGAATCTATTTATAAAATATTTTAAATAAAACGAAATGATGAAAAAACTTTATATTAATAAATTTATTATTTTTTTAAAAATAAATAAATCGATTGTGAAGTTAATTACAATTTTATACTTTTAAATTTTTTTTATACGCCATCTATCGGATAAAATCTATTTTTGTTATCAAATTATTTAAAAATGCTTTCCTTTTGATTTATTTATTAATTTTTTATTTAATTTGTCTATTTAAATTGATGACAATTTTTTTTGTGAAAAGTTATTTATATTTTTAGCTAAATTCTAAATTTAACCTCAAAAACCCCGACATAACCTAAAAAACTAAAAATATGTCAAATTCGAACGAGTAAAAAAACTTAATGAAAAACGATTTCTAACAAATTTTTCCCCTTGGAAAATGGAAGACGAATTAGATGATAAAATAATCTATCAAACGTACGTATCCCATATGAAAATAATGTCACGTATAGCATGGGGTTTGCCGGTTAATTTGTCCCCATTAACTTGTGCTTCGTACTTGTGGAAATTGTTAAAAATCTACGTATTAAAACCGGAAATTTTTGTATTTGGATTGGTTGTGTTCGTTTTGGTAATGTACGTACAAACTGTCCAACTATGGAGTGCTAATTTATTAGGGCGCCTTCAATACACATTGGGGAAGACTGAGAAGTCCAGGATTCAAAAGCTGAATCTATTCGCAATAGGCGACGTTGAAAAATCAAGTTGGGAATTGAAGAATGGTCCGGTTGCCGCTTATGCAGTTCAGGGCCGACGTCCAAAAATGGAAGATAGATTTGTTATAAATAATGATATTAATAAAACGGGTGTCTCATTGTTTGCTGTTTTTGATGGTCATGGTGGCGAATTTGCTGCAAATTATGCTAAAGATAAACTCATTCAAAATTTACATAATAAAATTGTTGAGATTAAAGGATTAATTAAAGGGGATCCAGTTAAAGTAGTAAAAAGTGAGGTTTGCGAGGAAGAAAAGAAAGATCCTGAAAAACCTGTTACTCCAAATTTACAAGAAAGGAGAAAAAGCTTTCGAAAAACTTCCTCAACAACCGATGAATGTATAAAAGGTGCTAAAGAAATTACCGATCCTGAATTATTAAATAAATTAGACAACATCCGACCAATTTCTAGAGAAATTAAACCTAGCAAATTAGAAGTATTAAAAAAATCTAAACCAACTGATTATTTTGATCGTTTTGGTACAATTGATTATGCAAAATTAATAACCGATGAAGTTTTAGCTGCCGATCAATTATTGGTAGAAACAGCAAAAAAATCTATGGATGTTGCTGGAACAACAGCTTTAATAGCTATTTTAGAAGGTTTCAAATTAATTGTAGGTAACGTTGGTGACTCCCGGGGTGTCATGTGTGATTCAAAGGGAAATGCAATTCCTTTATCTTTCGATCATAAACCACAACAAATGCGAGAACGTAAACGTATTAAAGAAGCGGGCGGATTTGTTAGTTTTAATGGAGTATGGCGAGTAGCTGGCATTTTAGCAACTTCTCGTGCACTCGGCGATTATCCTTTAAAAGATAAAAAATTGGTTATAGCAGACCCAGATATTTTAACTTTCGATTTATCGTATCATAAGCCACAATTTGTTATTTTAGCTTCAGACGGTTTATGGGATACATTCTCGAATGAAGAAGCTGTAGCGTTTGTTAAAGAACGATTAAACGAGTCAGATTTTGGCGCTAAAAGTATTACATTACAATCGTTTTATCGCGGGTCGTTGGATAATATTAGTGTGATTGTTATTAATTTTAAAGATAATTCGGTTTTGGATGGTCAGAATTAGGTTAAGTTACATTTTTTGTATTGTATTTAATAAAGAAAAATTAAATGGGAATGTTCACTATTTAGGTTTAAGATTATTTAATTATTTTGAGGCGGTGCCAAAGAAGACCAAGATTAATTAACTCGACCATTAAAGAGGATCACATTTTTAAAACTATGTTAAAGGGATGAAGAGTATTTTTAATATTATATACAAGGTTTGTTATTTATATCTTTGTTGAGTTGTGAATGTTTACCATTGTAAAAGGGGGAAAATATATTTCATTCGAAATTTACTGGTTTTTTTTTATTTTTGTACTTGAGAGCTAAAGGGGTGTAAGTCCACTTTTAACAAAACTGAACTAATGCTCAAATAAGAATGCTCTAAAAGCCGTTTTTAGTGCAAAATTAATCTAGACGTCAAAATTGTGTTTTGAAAAATAATTGAAAAGTTATTGACATATTGAGTCAAAAATTTATTTCTGTCTTCTCAACATTTTATTCTGATAATCATGGAAACTAATGATGAAGCAACGTTTGTCAAATTAGTGTTATATTCCTCATCTGACTCAGATATAGAAAGTGATTTAACCACAAAACCCAAATTAAAGTGTAAAAAACGAATTAGGTATGAAGATAATTGGAAGAAAAATATACGAAAAGTTAGGAGACAACGAGGAATTATATTTGTCTACTAAAAACAGGTTCCTGCAGAATATCAGAATTACTTTAGGACAGCGTTTCTCAACCTTTCAGTATTCGGGGCCCAATTTTCAATACCTTTCCATATAATAATAAAATACGACGTATATTATACGTTGAAAATTTTGGCAGCAGACATCAAAATAGTACAAAATAGCCAGATGCAAAAAGGCTCACACCATTGGTGAAGACCTTATTTTTCCAGCTGTAATGGAGATTGTAGAAACTATGTTTGGAGATAATTTTGCCAAACAATTACAGTCCATACCTCTTTCAAATGATACTGTTGCCCCCCGAATTGGTGATATAGCCGAAAAGTTGCGTGACAAATTGTTTTCGATTCAGCTTGACGAGGAATAAAGACGCTCATTTAATTGCCTATGTCCGGTTTTTTGATGGTATATCAGCAGTAGAAGAACTACTTTTCAGCAAACCTATAAAACTTAGAGCAACCCCAGTAAACAAGAAACCTCTGTGAAACATTTCAATTTTAACGTACAGTGAATTAAATGAAACATCTTAGAACTACGTTTCATATACGTGACAGATACGATTTTTACGAAACGTATCTAAAGATATGTATCAAATACATTTCAGTAGAAATATTTATGAAATATCATTAACATATGTAGCAGAAACATTTCATTTGAAACATTTCGCTACAAATGTGTCTGAAACATGTCTGGAATATCTTCAGCACCGCCTGTGAACGTATCTACAAACATTAATTAATGTTTGTAAACAGAACTAACCTAAGGTAACATTCCTTCACGGTTTAATTGACAGTTCAAAAGAAAACTTCACGCTATGATTGGCATTACTAATTACTAAAGAAAACTTCACGCTATAATTAATGTTTGTAAACAGAACTAACCTTACGTAACATTCCTTTACAGCACTCGCTTTGTTTGATACTTTAAATGATTTTATTAATGAGGCAAACATAGAGAATTGCGTTGGAATATGCATCGATGGTACAGTGTCTGGAAGAGTCCAAAGTGTACAAGCACTTGTGAAACAAAAATCTCCGCAATTTGTCTGAACCCACTGAAATGGGTCCTGGTCTCAACATTGTGCTAACAACGGTTGTAACTCTAGTAAATGATATAAAAATGGGACTGCTAAAATCAAGAATCTTTAATGCACTTTCCAAAGATATAGGTGCAGAACATTCGACGTTGCTATTTTATGGCTCCACGTGAGAAATTTCTACGAGTTTATGAGTTAAAAGAGGAAATTGCCACTTTTTTAGAAGAGGAAAACTGCCCGGAAGCCGTAAAGTTGCGAGATGCTTTATTTGTGATGAAATTGAGTTACTTGGTTGACATATTCGACAAATAACAATCTTGAATCTACAACTCCAGTGATAAAGTTAGTGCTTTTTGTAGAAAGTTTGCAAATATGAATGGGTATGTCAAAACATACAAGGAAGACGAACAGTATGTGAAAGTTGTTTTTGTAACAATAGAATGTTATTTAAATAGTTATGTTGGCACAGAATTTTAAAAAGTATTTTCTTGCTGACGACAAATTGGTAGTAAGTTACGAGTGGGTTAAGGATTTTGAACTAGTCCCGAAGGTCTTTCAACTGCAGAAGAAAAATTTTCATTGACTTTACTGCATGCGGCGAAATCTAGAGAGAATATGAACTGAAAACAAGAACATTTTGTATATTATTGCCATTTTCAATATTCTACCTTTGCGAAGCCGGATTTTCTGCGTTGGCTGCTTTAAAGACAAAATGTAGGTCTCGACTTCCAATTACAGGTCCATTTAACGTGAGACAAGCAAACGGTTCATTTTACATAAAAATGAACCAAATGAAAGTTGTTCTGTGTGAAGGGGGAAATCATATGACGAGCAAGGTCTATAGAACATAAGGTTACCCAATGCCGATTCTCCTCCTCTGAGGGGCAAGGTGGGTCAGTGACGTAGCTGGTTCTATGAACAACACAACACGATGCGAGGTTTAAATATTTTATATAGACCGTACCACAGTATAGGCTATCTTTCCGACTGTATCGAACCAGTGACGTCAATCTGCGGGGTAATAATCGATACTACAGAGGCATAGGGAATTAGGTAACCTTATGTTCTATAGACCTTGTATCACGATAACATTTTTGACCTTGACCTTATTTTCAAGGTTATATGAAGGTCACGACCAATTTTTTAAATGACGCCCTATATATTTTGTTGTAAAATCTGAATCTGTGGATAAAGTCATTTTGGACTTATGTCCCTTTAGCTTTCAGGTACAGATTTAAATGATTTTTAAGGAAAATTTAAATTATATGTTTGAAAATTGTCTATATTTTTTTAATAATTTGACTTAATATCATACAATTTCAGTATAAAAGCGTTGTGTTGCAAAATTGTTCGATTTTATTTTTGAAAGAAAACGAAATCCACAACATACAAATAAGATAATATTGAGTTTTAGGTAATACAATAACAGTTGACAAACCCATTGAGACTTTTTAAATACAACGTGATACAAGAGAGATTACCATGTAATCATTTTATGTACTATTAACAAATTACACACTGCAAAGAAAAAAAAACATACATTTATAATATATAAACAAAATTTAAAACAGCTATAGGCAAATATTGTATTTATTTATTAAAAAAAAATATATAAGGAAGAAAATGATAAAAAGGACCTATTTAATATTAGCGAGTGACTTTTTTTTCTTAATTTTATTTAAAGTACTTCGAATTCATCGGAATCCTCGCTGTGTTTTGTTAGATTCGGCGAATGTTTCGGTGATTCAGCAAATGATTCCGAAAAATAAGCCGTTGGTTTATTTAATATAATTTCAAAAAGCATTTGGTTATCGGATGTAACAACGTGTTCCTTAATATTATCACAAAGATCATTAAAATCCTTTTCAGTTTTACAAAAGAAACACTAAAAAAACAACATAATTATAAGTACAGTGTGTTATTTAATTATCCTACCCAACGTCATTATTTGCAAGTATGCAACCAATATCACATTATTGGTATTGCAATACCCGATTTGCGTATTTGGTTGCATACTTGCAATGATAATGTTGGGTATGATAATTAATTAACACAGTGTATGAAACAGTTAAAAAAGAAAAACTTACTAAAGCTATACTTGGATCCATCGTTAATATATTCATTCTTGGCGCTTTTCTACAATGATAAGTTAAATCAACTAATATCTCATCTTCAGTCTCTTTCTTTCCAATAGTTCCTGATTTTTGTGTTGTATGAGGATCAAGACAAAACACTTCGTTACCCATAAAACCCATAAACCATAAAGCCATATTTGGTTTTCCTCCGATTATACCTAAACTTTGGTGGAATTTGAAACAATTCTGTAAAGCTTTTATATAAATTGGGTTGATTTCATTTAGTCCTAAGCGTAAAGGCACTAGCAGAAGTAGAGGTTTCCACGATATTCCACCAGTTTTACATAATTCACCTAATAAAAAAACAAATTTATAAATCTTTATTTTTAAATAATTTTTTTTGAATTTTTACGAATATCATTTATGATCAATAAATTATCAAGGGCAACATGAATTTCTAATGATGTCCAATCATCGTATTTTACTAGTTTTCTGAAAAAGATAAATTATTTTTTAATTTAATTTTATGTCAACAGATGGCGGATTTGAAACACTTTTTTTGACAGTTTTTCAGGTTATGTTTAAATAAACAAATAATTTTTTTAAATTTAAAACTATAATAACATTATTTACTTTAAAACTTGAGCCACAGTGTTAGGTCCAAACCATTGTCCTATAGCTTTTCCCTCCGAAACACCCATTTGGGCAATTTGATGAATGGAAAATGGAGCTTGTCTTCTATCCTCCAATCGATGTATAATCTGTAAATATTCTGCAGTTTTTGTTTCAGGACTCCACGTCCAATCCCTTCCTAGATGTAAATTAACGAGAGCTTGTGCCAAAACCATTTGACCACACCTCAACATACAACCCCATCCTTTATCGGATGTAATTCCTTCCGTATCACCAATAGGAACAAAGCCTTTCCGGTAGGTTACCCAAATTTTTGTACAAATGTCTTTTTTAATTTGTGCAGCATCTTAAACAAGCGGTTATTTTACGAATTTAATCGTTAGTTGATATTTACCATGTAAAGCATTGTATTTAACCCCTAAAATCCATACTGGGGTGTCCGTAGCTGGTATATCAGTGAATTCTGAAGCCGCTTCATCTGCGTAATAACCTTCCATTGTAATGGGCGGTGTAGAAGAACATAAATGCCACAGGATTCTCCTAACTAAAAATATAAAAAAGCAACAAGATTCGAGAACATGACTATGACTTGGTTTGTTTTTGTCTCCATATCATACTTCGCCATTTTATCCCATCACAACAGTTAGGCGTTTGACTGTCAGTCATTTCAAAATTTCCCGCCTTTTTATTATTTTCAGAAAATGAGAATTTTTCACTATATCTTTGAAATTATTAAACTAAAATTTAACAATTACTTTTTTTTTTATTTTTCCTAAGACGTGTACTTATCAATTTTGACAATTTAAACTTCATATAACCAAAATTTAACAAAATCGAGATTTTTGGAAATCATTTTGACGTTTTCTTTTATTACTTATTGGATACTTAACGTACCTCCATAAGTTAAATTATTATCCATAATTATATTCAATTTATCCATAATTTCAATTATAAATTTGTATTTGAATATAATAAACTAAACCGATCAAAAGATGGCTCTTTACAAAACCTGAATTTGAATTTCCCGGTTAAACGTTAGTAACGCCATCTTTTAATTTACTAGAATTTTCGTTACATGTCATTGTAATGTCAAAATTTTGAATAAACGTAATAAGTCGTAATTTATCAATACAATATTCGTGACACCTTTAATTTCTAAATTATTTCGTGTTTTCCACGTACAATTTTTATTAATTTACAATTTATTAAAAAAAAATCTGAAGTTCCGGTAAAGTGAACATAACCTCACCGAAAAATAATACTTCAGTGACAGTCAAGGCAGCTTTTTTTGCCATTTATTTATAAGGTAAATGTCAACAGTTGAAGCGTTTTTCATTTTTCGATCAACAAATTAATAAGTAAGCCCCCCAAAAAAAAAATCTTCCGCGGCCAATTGCATAATGTTTCATCATAAAATCCTTTCGATCTAGGAGAACCAAAAGCAATTAATCCCCAACAAAGTGAATTTCTAACAATTTTTTTTAGACTCAGTTATTCTTAAACTATCAACATGGCATCTATGTTATTAAGTCGAATGTGTTGCTCCCCTGGTGTACGAGCTAGCACCATCAGGAAATTACCGGTTAAAAGTTTCGTAAGGAATTATGCTAGGGATTCTAGGGAGAGCTTTGAAAGGGCGACCAGAAGACCAACTTTACGAGAAAAAGCCATGGCACCAGCTACAGATTCAGGTAATTAAATTCAAAATAATTTCAAAATTTAAATTATGATTTTTTTTTAGCTTTTAATATTGGAAAAGGTGCTTTGGCTGGTGGTGCTGTTGTGGGATTAGGTGCCCTTTGTTTTTATGGTTTAGGATTATCTGACCAAGCGGGAGCTTTAGAGAAATCAACGTAAGCTTTATTTTAATAAATTGAGCATTTATAGATGATTTTTTTTTAAGTTTCTGGCCCCAATATGTAAAAGATAGGATAACAACAACTTACATGTATTTTGGGGGATCGTTGGCAATAACAGCAGCCAGTGCTGTTGCAGCATTTAGGAGCCCAGCTATTTTAAGATTAGTTGCAAATAACGGATTTATGGTAATTAAAAATAAAATTGAAATCCATCCTCCTTAATATTATTTCTTTTTATATTAGGGAATTGCAATAAGTCTTGCTGCTATAATTGGTACAGGAATGTTAGCTCAAGGGATAGAATACAAAGAAGGTTTTGGAGCAAAACAAATTGCTTGGATCTTGCATTCTAGTGTTATGGGTGCTATGGTGGCCCCATTATGTTTCTTAGGTGGTCCAATTCTTATCCGAGCAGCTTGGTATACTGCTGGAATTGTTGGTGGTTTAAGCACAATAGCTGTAAATTAATTCATGTTAATTAAAACGTATTTTTTTAAATAAATTACAATTTTTTAAAGGTTTGTGCGCCAAGTGAAAAATTCTTAATGATGGGAGGTCCCTTAGCGATGGGGTTGGGAGTAGTTTTTGTATCTTCATTAGCCACAATGTTTTTACCACCAACTACAGCTATAGGAGCAGGCCTTTATTCGATTTCTCTTTATGGAGGGTTGTTATTGTTCTCTGGTTTCTTGCTTTATGATACTCAACGCATTATAAAACAAGCTGAAACTCATCCTGCTTCGGCTGCTTTGTATGGAGTACGACCATATGATCCAGTCAATGCGTAAGTATATATTTAAAATTAGGAAAAATATTTTAAATCATCTTTTTTTTGTTTTAGTGCAATTGCGATTTATTTGGATACTTTAAACATTTTTATAAGAATGGCGACTATTTTGGCTGGTGGCGGACAACGAAAGAAGTAAAAATTAATTTCCCCATTTACTAATAATTTAGATATTATTTTAACCATTAATTTTTATTCTAGTTAACATATTTTAAATGGCGCGGAAATTTTAAGTTCACTACTTTTGTATAATTAAGAGTTGTTGCCTATTAAAAAATAACAACACTGTTTATGATACAAATTGTTTTCATTTTGCTTTTAATTTAAGATTGTATATAGATTATATATTGGTTACATCTTAGATATAGATTATTTTATACATACAAATTTCTTTCTACTTCTAAAACATTTCTGACTTCTTGAACTAGATTATTCACTATGTTAACTATAAAAGATTTCCATGTCAAACTAGAACCTTCTAATTCTTCTGTAATTGTAAATAAATAAGTTAAGATATCATTTTGTGTTTAAATAAGAATTTACTGGATATAAAAGCAAGTTTTATTTAATCCAGGATTCTTTGCAGCTTCCTTGGACCTTGTTATATTGCCTTTTTGTATATTTTGGTCATTGTTATTCAGTTTGGCTATTAAATATTTTTGTATAAACAAAATTTTACAGGAAACTGTATTTATACAAAGTATTTTTCTATATAAAATCCTACTTTTATTATACATTTTCCTCACTGTTATGGTAATCTTTTCATCACTTGCACACGAATGTTTCCTCTTCATCATTGGTCTCAAATCGCTTGCTTCCAAGTGCTTCTTTGAAAGGTAGTGACAAGTCTAGTTCATTTCCATTTGTTTTTGCTGTTGTGTGGGGCCTGGCGCTGTCGTGAAGAAGAGAGCAGCTTAACTTGATCGCCGTGGTAGGTTTCGTTGAAGGTCTGGCTTCCATGTAATAAATCTACCAGTAGGAAACCCCTTCAGTCCCAAAAAACCATGACCAACACTTTCCTTGCAAATAATCGAATTTTGGCTTTCACAGAGGTTGCATCGTATTTCTTTCTCGACTCCATTCTTGCACGCTTTATTTCGGGAATGTAATGATGCACCCATGTCTTATCAAAGGTTATAATTTTATGCAAAGAACTTCCCGTTCTTCTTCGAAAGGAATTCCACAGAATTCCAATTTTCTTTCGAAGTCACCTTCGTTCAATTCCCATTTGGTAATCAATCCCTCATAATTCTTAAAAGAATTAAGATAGCGGGTTTTGGTTTATGTGGTTGTGTTTCTTTTTTCATTACCTTTAAGGTAAAACTCGACAGAGGTTGCTATTTAAAAATGTAGGGGTGGTCATGCAAAAAACTCCACATTGCATGGAAGTTCTGAATTATCTAAGAATGTAGCTCATGTTGAGTATCTTCAAAGATCTCTAGCTGTTGCGATTTTTACTATCAGGCGTATTAGAACAATAGCTGGATATGAGACAACTAGGCCTATGTACTTTGCGAATTTTCATGGTAGGGCATTATATGGTATCTTAATTTGGAAGAATTCATCGGCTGCGAAAGATATTTTCCACCAACAAAAAACAGCAGTAAGAGCTTTAACGGATGAAAAAAATGCCACAAAAAGCCATATAACATATTTACCTTTTGGCAAATTTCACCATGCTCTTTATAACCCCACATCTCAGACAATGTTCATTCAAAAAAGCTCCAAATAGATTATTATTTGTTGTAACAGGAGATGATCAAAAATTGAATTGCTGATACACAATGAAATTTGCCAAACAAAATTAAAATCAAAATAACTTGAAAACGAAAAACATTTAACTTTGAGGGTGTTTTGTCTGTTCAACTTATTTTGCAAAACATTTGAAAGCTCAATAAATATATTATTATTATTAATGTTACAATGAGCATTCACATGATGGATACTTTACTACGTAAAGCTGGGTAAACTTTTTTCAAAGATAAAAAAAAAATAAATTTTACAGCATGTAAGATTTTTCTTTATTATAATTAAGCGTTCCATTTTTTCTTAATTTCACAAGTGATTCTTTCACTTATACACAATAAATACGGTTTTTTCATGAGAATAAATATAAAAGAGAGGTTTAGGATTAATATTCTTTTTTCATTTAAATCTTTGGGAAAGTGCAGTCTTAACGGAAAATTCATTGAGATTACTTCAAAAACATCGTCTAAATCTTAAAAAAGAAACTAATCGAAATCAGGAACATTTAAAATAAAAGTACAAAAATTAAATGGCACAAATATGTGTTTTAGAAATCATAAAAACACTTTGTAATAAAATATGATTTAAGATTAATTAGCATTGATGATATAGTTTTACAATTTGAATTTTTATGGTTTCTATACACAACTATAATACAATTTTTATATGTATTAATGAATAACGCCCAAATTTTTTTTTTTATTAATTTTCTTTCTATTTTTTTTTATTTTTTCGGTTTAAGAATTTCTAAATGTTTATTTTAAGCGAATAAATACCTATTATTTTTTTTTTGTATCTACACATGGCAAAAAATACTATTATAAAATTACATCTTTTTAATAATGGATACCGAAAAATAAGGGTTTGATTAAAAATTAGGTTTTTTTATAATCATAAATAGTGTACAATAATTATTTTGAGTACTATTTACAAGGATACCACTTAATGAGTCATCATGATTCAAAATCAAAAAATTAAAAACATTAGTTATGGTTCGCATGATTACTTTTTTTTAAGAATTGTCTACAATATTAAAAGACAATCCACACAATCATTAATTTTTCTTTACATTCACAATTTTCTTTTCTAAATCAAGCTATTGTGATATGTAAATTTGAAATTTATTGAGCACAACACGGCAAAGTTGGATGATAACATTCATTTTTTTTTAAATTTAATGTTTTAAATTATTTTTTTTAATTAATTTTTTCTCGCAATTTCATTTTTATATCATAAAATTTATGAATAATGACATATTGTTTTCTTTTTTAAATTAACATTAAAAGTAGATGAAATGAAATGAAATAAATAACGAAGAGTATCAAAAACTTATAACGAAACAAATATAATAATTATATACATTCAACATTAATGTTAATTGATTAATGATTTTTTTTGGAATTATTTATTTTTTTACTAAACTAGCTATCCTATGTAGATGTGGTTTCATGCTACTATTTAAAGCCGCTAATGGAGAAGATGGAGCCGGCGATGGAGGTGGGATATTATTATTTTGTATTGTTGATTGGTTTTGATCTTTTAATGATTGCTCTTTAGCACCCCTAGAAAACAAAAATTTATTAAAAAAATATGTAATCAAGCAATTTATTTTTATTAACTTACAAATATCTGGTTAAATCCTCAATATCAACCAACATGGAATCTTGTTCCATGTGCAAATCATCTCTTTCCATTAAAAACTTAACCAAGTTTTCGTTCAGGGTCTCAATTTGAGTATGTAAATCGTTTACGATTACTTGTAATTGAGCCACGTTCATTTCGGTTAAAATTTGTCTCGACAATCTTCTTCGATCTTCTGGAAATGGAATTCCAACCTTTTCTAAACTATGACGAACCATTTCCGTTATGGGACTCTTTTTTTGTTTTTGCCTCTCAATCTATAAGTAGGAAAAAATTAATTGCTGGTACTTTAGAGTTTCAATTATTTGGTGGTAATTCAAATAAACTATGAAGTTTAATATAATAATAAATAATATAAAAAAAAATGTAAATTTTGGTGATTTTTAGGTGTTCTGCACTAACAATTTTTGAATTTTGTCGCATCTATTATAAACTACCTATTATCTTTTAGGTTCATATTGATGTAAATTTAATTTTTCTAAAAAAAAAGTTTCTAGTAAAAACCCCCTTGCAAACTAAAAGAAAATTTCCTACCCCAACTTTTAACAATTGTTATAAAATAGTAAATACATTTGACAAAGATCTAAATAAATACCGATTTCGTTTTCCTAACTTCAAAATGTGTGAAAATATGTTGGAAAATGATTCTAAAAGGCCCCTAACTTTACAGGAAGTGGAAAATATTACTGATGATGAAATTGACGTTGCTATTATTCTCCAATTAGAGATGATCTGTGATGGATATGTTATCAAACTCAAAGAATTTGCGTCTTTGGAAGAATGTCGTGTATTACTACAAACTAACTACGACACACATTTTCTTGATGCAGATAATCGGTATAAATTAAAGCAACAGGATAGAGGCTTACAAAACCGAGAAGAACACCAAAATATTGTCGGTAGATTCACAAAAATGCTTACCCACTCCTCTATTAACGAATGTTCAGAGTTTCTATTCTTTAAAACTATGATGCAACAGAGAAAATAGGATATTGCTTCACCTGGGATGAATCTATAGGTGGACGAGGTGGAAATGAAATGCCTTCATGTATTCTAAAATACATTAATTTAAATGTAAAAGAGTGTGTGGAAAAAATTGAAGCGATAACTGCACATCACAAAATAGAAATCATCAGATGATTATGTGCTATCTTTCGATTCTTTTGCTGAAGCTTTCCATAAAATGCATAGAACATAAATACTAGTGGTGGAACGGATAATGATTTTGCGAAAAGTCGGATACCGGATATTTCCACAAGGATCCCTCAAGAAATTAATTTTATAGCGAATTTTGAAAACTATCGATGAAAATTGCAATATCGAAATCTTATCAAAACTTCAAATATTGTTTTCTCAAAAACTAAAAGTTATTTTTCAAAACGGATTGGTTCATTGGAAAGAGGACGCTTTTTTTTAACACTTTGGTAAATTTTCATACTCATATTCCAAGAAATGGATTTTATAGGAATTTTTAAAACTTAATCGGCAAATTTTGCAAAAATCGAAAAAATTTTCTGTCATTTCAATAATTTATGACTCAAGAACTGAAAGTGATTTTTCAAAACGGCTTGTTGCATTAAAAAGATGATACTTTAATTAATAAATGGTGATATTTCCACAAGGATCCTTCAAGAAATTAATTTTATAGCGAATTTTGAAAACTCGATGAAAATTGCAATATCGAAAATTTTATCAAAACTTCAAGTATTGTTTTTTCAAAAACTTTTCAAACAGTTATTTTTCAAAACGGACTTACTTTTACAATAATAAAAAAACTATAAATAATCAAAACTTTTTCATATCTAAGGTGGTTCTTGTGAAATTTTTAAGAGAAAAACCTGGAGTATCATATTTTAAAACAGATTTGAATCAAGAAAATTTTAAACAAGTTGATTTCAATAGAGCCACTAAAAGAGAAGAGACGCAAAGAGAAAAGTACTGTTAATTCTAAGGAAATTATTCCCAATGTTAACTTATTGCTGCTGAAAAAATTAAGAGAGACACTAAAACCTATCTCAACTAAAAAGTATAATGATTTGCAAAAATCACTAACATGGGTACCTAAAAGATTCCATGAATACTTTACAAATCTTCCACATGGTAACCTCAAGGAAGACGACTCAAAAATGCATTGATTTTTATTTTAATTATTTGTTACTTGACCTTTAAGATTGATAGTTTTTACAATGTTTCTTTATATTTTTAGTGTTTTTTGCCTTTTGATACTCTTTATTCTTTACTAATTACTTATAAATGATATGAATTAGTTTTTGTTCTACAAATTTGCATTGTTGGGTTTTTAACAATAATTAAGTATCAAGTCCCACATATCTATAAATGAGTAGGAGCTAAACAGTGTTAAGTCACAAAATACAGTATTAAGTAACAAGATAATAAGATAGGTTTGTTATTATCAGCTTTAGTTATCTTCCAAAATTATAACTGGGAAAATAATAACCCAAGCTCTCCCATTACAAGAGTAATTGGTTTGAAAACATCATTATTCAAAATCTTACTGTAAAATTTAAAAAGTGTCACTTAATACTCTTTGGTTCTGAGGTCCAGATATGCATTTTAATAAAAAAAATATTGAAAGGTAAATTTTTTCAACTCTTGTCCAATAATGGGTTAATTTCTTGATGATTTTTTAATTAAATTTAGTTACCTCCATTTGCATTCGAGCCATTTCTTTAGCTTGAGCCAAAGCCATTCTAGCCTCAGTTTGTAACCGAGCCTGTCGAGCAAAAAAATCAGTTTCTGTCATAGGTTGGGTGATGGGTTGAAGTAAAGGTTGACCAATTGAAAGAGTTGCTGGTCTTATTGGAGGTGGAATTTTCTCCTCATCAACGTTTTGATTCGCATTAATAATTGTTTTTGATTTTTGTTGTTTAGGATTCGTCATCGTACACTCAGAATCAGAACTTGGACTCTCTGTATCTGACATAGTATCGTTCATAAAACAAATTTGAAGGTTCATACCTATAAATAACACAATTTGATGAGTTATTAAATTTAATTACACTACTTTAATTATTACCACTTTGTAAACGAGATTGTAAGCTGGGTTTTCTTCCCGGCCTATCATTATAATACTCATCTTCCGATCCCATTGCGAGCCTTCGACGAATCTCCTCTCGATCAGTTCTTCTCTGAAAGTTTAAAAAAACGCGAATTATTTTAAAATCATAAAAGAAAACATTTATTACTTCATCATCATCATTAATAGTAATAACTTTCATGAATCTATCTAAAATGTTATGTTCATCCAAAGAAGGTGGCACAAATGGCACCCATTCCATATTTATGTTAACCGAATTGTTATCGTTAAAATTCAAAGAACAAGCCCTCGGTGACAAGAAGTCGTTTTCAAGGTACTCAAACTCCTTCTCCTTTCTCTTTTTTGTCGTTACAATAAAATGACATTTCGCATCTTTGTTACTTAATTTTTGTTTTAACCCGCCAAAATTCAAAGTAAACTTTTTCGATTGTTTTTTTAAAGAAGTAAACAAATCTTCAAACATTTTTTTAAATAATTTTTCTTTGATAGTTTAAAAAAACCGTGATTGATGCGTTGAAACGTTGTCTCACTTAACACTACTCGGTGATATTTAAAACGTGACGAAAACGAGAACGAAACTCACGGTGGTATCAGTTAAAAAATATAAATAAATAAACAAAGGTCACTTTTGTGAGTTGTAAGGAGTGAAAACGTTAAGCGCACGTGAGGTCTTTAAGGTAAACAAGGTAAAAGTATCGGAAGTCTATAGTGAGGAGTGAGAAGGGATTATTTTTGAAACACCTGTCCCTTCTCTTGAAATGTGAATGCGGGCCAAAAGCTTGTTTGGTTGTCTGATGTAAAATTAAATAAATAAAAAAGATTTGATAGAATTATTTATTAAAAAAAGTTAAAAATTATTATTTTAAAGGTTAAGATAACCTAAATTTATTTAAATGGTTATGTTAAATGTCAAAATTTAACCTAAAAAGAAAGTTTGTTGATGTGAAGTTAGCGTAATGATATTGAATATAAAGTTAATTAATAATAAAAAAAGTTATTAAAATAATAATAATTGATTATGCCATAGAAACTTTAATACCAATTATTATACACAATCGAGAATTATAAACAATCAATTATACAATGTGATTTTGGTTTAATACCTACAGTGGCGGACAAAAGTCTACATACAGCATTGAATTATGAGGTTCTTGTACAACGCAATAAGATAACAAAAAATTAATATTATAAGATTAGATATACTACAAAAAAGAACTAAACACAAATCGCTCAACAGCTACCTACATACTAAGAATTTAAAGAATAATACAAAAATTAATAGGACAAAAGTATACATACACAGTAGTTTTTGACTAAAAATAAATACATGTGAGCTTCTATAACAGCACGCAAGCGTCGTGGCTTTGAAGCAACTAAGTTTTTTATTTTTTTTGCTGTTATTTCAGCTCTAGATACGACTAACGCAGATTTCAGTGTTTTCGCGTCTGTGATTTTGCATCTTACGTTCCAAAAGCTCCTAAACTTGCTCGATTGGATTTAAATTCGGACCCTGATGTATATTCAACTGTCTGGGGTTTCTTTAACTCAAGTGTAGTGTATGTAGACTTTTGTCGTTGTTTTCTAAACTTAAATCAGTTATCGAACAAAAACAGTAATTGAAAACTGTTAAAATACATTCGGATTCAATCCTAAGATGTATAGAATACCTAAGTCTGTATAGACATACACTACAGATACTTGTAGTAACAGCAAACGAGATTGTTAAGAATGATGCAGCAAATGCAGAATTTTCGTTGTTAATAATAACAACAAAAAGGAAATATCAAGCATGATTTTGAAATATACAACGTAATAGACATTAGTAGTGTATCAGCGGATGGGTCAAGCAGCTGAAATAAGTTTTTAGATTAAAAGAACTTTTAATTAATTTTTGTATTTAAAGTAAAATTTTCTTACTGATCTGATAATTTATGATATTTTGTTTGTTGTTAAGTTCATGTACTTGTAGTTTCTTCTATATGAATATAGAAGAAACTCATTAGAAAAGAAAAAAGACAAGACATAGGTGAAAAAAGGCTGGATAAGTACGAAAGCTACTAAACAGAAAATAGAAAGTCTAGCAGAAGATTGATAATAGTAGAAAGGGACTAAATTTGACATAGAAACCGTCCCATATTCTTTTAAACAAGAGAGTCTGGAAGGGGATTCGTAACAGAAACTGAGCAGAGATTGGAAAGAAAAAAAGAAATTGGCAATTAGAAAGAGATTAAACAAACTAGAAACACAAGACAAGTAGAGGAGTGAAGAGATTTGTACAGAGAAATGAGACTTTTGGCCTCTTTCAATTTTTGCAAAGTTGGTTTTGTCATGGGCGTGGGACAACTTTTAAATTTGAAATGGAACTTTTTAATTGTAGTTAGAAATCAACGCTATATAATAAATAGTTTTTGTTTTCGCTGCACAACCTTGTTATTTACCACTCAATTAAATTAAATGTTTGAAGTGGTGACCAGTTTGATGCACTTATCGATTAGTAGCGACATACTTGTACAGATCTCGACAGCGCGTCAAGTGTAATTTGATTATTCGAATATTCGACAACACGAATTTTTCCAGAAATTAAATTAAAACTAGAAACTTCCGGGTTATGCCGTGCGTCTATTAAAACATTGCTTTTGAATTCTAATAACACCAGCCGTCAAATTTAAATTCCTTCGAATTAAGAATGTTTCCATGTAAAATTTAAAAATTATTCGTGATTTACCCTCAGAGTGGGAGGAGGGATCAGCTTTATCATCCTTGCATGGATCATCGAAGAAATTTTATCTATTTTTTATCTGATCCGTAATTTTTAAAATTTTCCGTTTCGTTGGGTTAAGTGCGATTTATAAAATATGCCGGGTACTTTAATGATGAATAATATCCATAAAGAGTGATCTTTTCATTCTGCTTTGCATGATCATGCCCGAAAATGGCGATAGAAGAAAGGAATTGAACAAAAACTGAAAAACCCAAGAAGGAAACTTGTAAAAGCAGAAAGACTAGAAACAGTAGAAAAAGGCTGGGCAGAGAAGAGGGGGTGAAGTGGAAAAAGACTCTGGAGGCAAGAATAATACTAGACAAACCAGAAGAAGACTGTTAATAGATGCAAAAGTCTAACACAGGAAGCAGAGATAGCTGGAAGAAGGTAGGCTGGAGAAAACACGAAACCTGATAAAAAACTAACATAGACAGGAAATTAGTAAGAGGAAAGGAGACTGCTAACTATGATAAGAGGTTGGAAAGATGCTGTTTAGGCAAGAAAGGGAGTAAATAGAGGGGAAATAAACTGGCAAGAGGATGGTAATACTAGAAAGAGATTGAACTTAGTGTAGAACGAGGAGAGAACACTGAATAGAGATTGGAAATACACGAAGGAGGCTGGGCAGAAAGGAGAGAGAATGGAGAAAGAACGGAAAAACACTGTAAAGGCGAGAAAGGACAAGAACTACACTAGAAAGAGACTGGTAATAGAAGAACTTGAACAGAGACTTGAAAAACGGAAGGAAGACTGGAAAGAGACTGTAAAAGCAAGAAAGATACTGGACATAAAAGAGGAGGGCTGGAAGATTGCTAAGAACGTCCACTTGATTGGCATAGCTTTCTTGTGTTATTCTTTTTCTAATCCTGTGAGTTTCATTTAATTTATGATAAAATTATACCGTATGTAAGATTCTTCTTTATAATGATGATACAATTGATTTTTGAACTTCCAGATTGGCTAACCTCATTATTTTCGTTTAGACTCTTCACCTTTAAATCTTTTTCAATTCTGCCTTTATTTAAATATTAGTCTAATGAGATGATCCACAAAAAATTGCAGAAAAAATACTCTACAATAATGGACAACCGTTCATATGATAACTATATCTGAACTTTAACTCTATTAAAATCATTATCTACGACTTACAAATAAAGATTTTCAAAAATTTAATTGATTTATAATTAATTATATTAAAACAAAAATAAATTGTTAATTTACTTACGATTTCTCCTAAACTTTCCAACGATTCATGATTATCAAAAGTTAAAGTATACAAATCTTTTAAATAACAAGTATCCTTCTTGTAATGTCGTTTTCGTTTTAACGTGGACATTATTTTATCAATTTCAAAACGGAAACACCATAGACAACGTTATCGGAATAAACAACGCGAACCAACTAACCATTAACGAAGAACGAAAGCTAACGACCGCGTCAGTCTTGAGACAGGAAGAAGTTAACTGTACTAACTACTGTATTTTGATGATTTTTTTTTGTGTTTTGTTAAAAAGAGAAAAAATTTTTTTACCGCTAGACGTGGCGAAAAATACACCACAACGCGAAGTACAGCAGAAAACGATGATTCATACTGTGTTCCTCAGACCAGAACACAGAATCGAGGTTTGTTGCAGAATTTTCTAATGTGATACATAATAGAATTGTGTTTTTTTAGAAAGTTGGTTTCGTTTTCATTTACATAGAATAGGGTAATTATTATTAATTGAGGATGAAAAAAGGTTTACCATAAATAAATCTGAAAACATTGGGGTTAACTTTAAATTTTGATGTTCTGGGTTTTTATCATCTAAAATGTATTCACGCATCATTTTTTTTAAATCACTTCACGTTAAACTTTCAAACTTTTCTTGTACTTTTTGCTATAAATATAACGAAAAACGTGTTGATTGTTTATGTGTTGCACAGTGCGTTGGGAATGTGGTGTTAGCTGTGGATATTTTTATCAAAACCTTTTCTGATAAGATATCGGTTAATCGTTTAATTATGCTTTTGCGCTTATGCTTTTACATATTGTATTTAGGTAAAGAAGCCGGAATTATCACCCGGTTTTTATGTTATCATAAAAACATGCGGGGTGATTATAACACGTTTTATTTTATTTTATTGTTTTTTAAATTAAAAATTTTATATAATAATTTTTGATTCGAAGTAAATCTTAATCGTGTTTTGCGAAAGATAATATCATCTACGACAACCTAAACTTTTATTGTGATTAAAAATGATCAACAAAGTAATAACAATTTTTTAATTTGTCATATTGACACAAAATTCTTGAAATGTCGTCTCTCCTACTAAACATCTTAAGAATCCCGGTTTATATCAAGAAATTAGCAGTTCGAGCAGTGAGAATGTATGAGGAGTTTCTGAGAAAACCAGCAATTCCGCTGCTGAAACAAGAAGAAATTTCAAAACTGCATAAGAAACGATTTAAGATGTGCACATCAAGCGAACCGCATAAATGTAAAGATATATGGATAGATAGGTTACAATTACCTTATTATCGAGATTTGAGAAAAATCAAAACGACCCCGGTGAATATTAAAAAAGAACCTCAACTTAAAGATGCTTCGTTAAAAATCCCTCCGAATCCGGTTCCTGTTGGTATTGGTTTGTCACGGCAATCAATTGATGATGAAAAAATTAGAAAATTACTGTACGAGTATAATAAGCAAAAAGAAAATAATATTATGGAGATGAAAAGGCAAATTCTTAGTGGGAAGGATCCTACGAATAAAATACCTGAAGTAAAAGTGCAAGAAAAGCGAAAAGAATATGACATTTCGAATGAAGAATGTTCGCAAAGAAAGTCAACATCAAGAAGGAGTACTTTACGTGCTGTGTAATTTGTTTATATTATTTTCTTCGTATGAAAAAACTTTATGGATATTATACTTTATGCATATTGTAGACGGCAATTAAGTTAGCTCTAAATTAAAAATGTTTCTGCCAAAACTTAACAAATATTAATTTAAATATATAAAAATCATTTTTCAAACATTCAGTAACAAAAAAACATTTTGTTCATCTTGAATTCTGTGATTTAAATCATTCAGTGTTATTAGCCAACACAATTATCCACCAACTCTTGCACAACTGTCATTGATTATCTTGCAGTATTCGATGTTGCGCCAATCGTACCGCATCCTGAAGATTGAAAAGTTCAATGTGTCGAAACTGTACAACTTACTCTCTCCTTCCTGGTGTGTAAATGGATTCGAATAATTCGGTAACGATAGTTTGTTAACTCAGGTAATCTATGAGATGAAAATGAGTATTTTCTGAGTTTTTGGAATACTCAGATCATACTTCTTTCACCAACTGAACGCATAGAGCTTTGTAAAGCTGTAACGTACAATTTTGACATTCTATTTATCTTCAAAACACGGTTATGTTATGTTTCTAACATGGTCAGGTGATTATACATAGCTCGTTTGTAACAAATTGTTACTAAAACAAGTAGACTTATAACGTTGTCGTCTGGATTTCTTTTAGGAAGTACTTTTGAAAGTTTTCAATGCGAAGTGGTTTGGGTCCATCTAGAGGTTTTTCATATTTCAAGTAAATGGAAGATAATCTTTTTGATACTTTAATACTACGTCACACTTTGAAAGCCGAGCTTAGATATGGTATCTCTAAGATTTTTTTTATGTTTAAAGTCCTTTATGTCAAAAAGGTAATGCATATTTTCCTGTATCTGCAGCTGAACATCTGGGTCAGGTTGAATAGCCAACAATTTTCGTAAATGGTATTCACTTTTCGTTATGTTGCAAGTTATAAAATAGTGGATTGAATCTAAGATCAACCTAAGATGATTTAATAAAGCAAAGGTTGTATCTTTGCTCTTTTCTGACATCACTTCAAATTGGTTCTACTTCATAACAACTTGATTTTGATTATACACAACTTAGTTTATAGTATTACAACTTCATTTTCTTCCACTACTAGAAGATCTTACTTATCGAACTTCTGATTCGTCTGCATTTTATATGTTTTATTGAATAGTATGTATTTCTGGAACAAATCTATGAAAAATATCTTCTTGGAAAAACCATTAGAATTTGTTAAAAAAGGAACTTGAAGCTTAAAAAGAGCCAAAAAAGTAACTTCGTTCCAGAAGCTGCGAGAGTACACATAAAGCTGTTTTTTTTTGAGTTTCAGAACACCTAAATATGGAAAGGACCAAACTATCTGGGAAAAGCTTGTATCACCTTGTAAGAATTGCGAACTATTGTGCTTTCGGAAAAAATTAAGTTAAACGGTTAGAGTCTGCCTCACTTTCTAATAAGACTGTGCGTCGTAGAATAAAATTGATGTTAGGATCATATCAAATAAAGGAAGAATTTTCATTTTGTGGGCACCTTATCTCTAGCATATTGGTCGATATATTTACCACTGTCAACAATCTGATTGTAAAGCATGGCTTATATTAGATGAGGTGCGTATATGCTCAAATGGAGCATGCGTAATGATTGGGAAACATGGTAGTTATTGATTTGTTATCATAATTTCTAAACATGTGTGATATTTATTGGAAGGCTAAATCTTTTTAATCTAAGTTTACGATGTAAACGTAGATCTCACTTTTCTGTTGTTGATAAGCTTAAGTCATTCATGAACAAGTTTCAATTTGTAAAGTTCAGATGGAGATACACCCTAACATTTTCTAACATTCTTAAACAAACCAATGAGATTCTTGTTCCAAAAGATGTTAGTGTACAAATGACTTAAATTGTATTCTATCTCCTTTCTTAGCGAAAGATTAAACTATGTTTACAATTACTTGAAATTAGCTTGACAGGAATACCTTATTAGATGATTCATAAAATATGAAAACGTATATAATAGTAGCCACAAATTCCACAAAATAATGTTTTTATAGAAAAAAACACTTTTTATGCAAAGTGTTACGTATCTTTGTAGCAAATGGCATGTATATTTAGTATATTTATGTTAATATTCTATATCTAAAGTTTAATAACGTCATACATTTAAAAAGTCAACTAAAAACAATGAACTGAAAGCCTAATAGCAAGTAATTGCTCCCAATTGTTTTGAATGGCTCACCACAACTGATTACACGCAGTACAATTCAATATGTATTGTCTTATTGCGAGTAATGTTTCGCCATGTTTGTTAGTCACCAATAGGTTAACCACCTCACTATATATATCAAACATGACTAATGTGTAATACTTTTTATGTATATAATACATTGTTGGAATCTTAGTAATTATAGAGTGGATACATAAAGCTATACTTCTGCAAACAGTATTCTAAGACTATTTACTTCTTAATAAAATCAATTGAGTTAAAGCAGTATTAATACTTTGATTAAGACGAGCAACGGGGTTCCTCTTAGAACAATGTATTTCATAGTTTAATTAACCTGTAATTAGTTGCTTGGGGTCAAATAGGCCCGAATGCACAGTATACACCATACCAAGCTCAAGTATTCATTTAACCAGACTTATGGCACAAGTAGATCCCAAGTGGGTAATATGCAATACATGCATGCTTATATTAGTGAGAGTTGGAGGTGCGCTACAGGTTAATACTCACTAGGACTTATTCGACCCCACACAACTAGTTAAGGTTAATCTTTTTGATTGTCAAAACGTTATAATTGATACTCAAGTAAAGGTCAAGGGAGTTCCTGACCTTCCTTATGTTTAATGAAACCAGCTCTATTGAATTACTGTATGGAATCGTAGGGAGTCTTTAAAAGAAAAATTAAAAAATGTATTTTTTCTTACCTTATTTTTTAAAGACTCCTTATTTTTAAAATCCATTTTAATCTTAAAACTCACAAATACGTAATATCACAATAGAAAAATAATTTCTTAAATAACTCTGTTGTTGACTAGAAACAGTACATCACTGAAAAACCCCAAGCGTACCTCGCGGAAATTGGTGAATAAGATCACAATGACGTCACTTTACGAAATAAGTTTGCGCTCGGTTCACATACGCATAGATCTGACCTCTAAAACGTTTCATCGTCGTTTATAATTCAGTTTCATCAACACTCCAGTATCATTCAGAGTAACTCCCTACAACCTCTTCGAAAAGATTTTTTTTCCGTTCGCTGCACAATTTACTCTCTGTCTGGAAAAGAGATTACAGCACGTGGATATCGAATGTAACCGTTTACCAGATGGCCATTATTTGATATTTAGTAGGTCATAGTTGAAGTTAAAAGAGATATGGTTATTTTTTTCCATTTTTTTATCGTTGTGATTCGACCTCTGAAAACGAACTGCAATTAGCAGCCTGTCACAGTCTATTTTCGATAATGTGGGTGCGGTTTTTACAGTTTACACGAAAATAGATTGGTTTTAATTGAAATTTTTATTTTACTTAATATTTGGAATTCGATAAGAACGGTGTGATTATGGGTGACGTGTAAAAAGTTATCGCATAACTTTTTTTTCAAGTTAATACAAGTTTGTTAAATAAGGCTTCAGCGGTGGGTGTCGGTTGAAACTGGAAAGTTTCTAAAAAGTTTTCTTATTGTTGAGAGATGAAGGAAAGTTTTCTTTTAACAAAGAAAAATATATATCGCTGCGAATGATTGCAACCAGATAAGTTTTATATGAGAGATAGTTTTTATTTTTTGCACACCGATTTATTCGCTCAATAAGATAAATTTGTTGACAAGTTAATTTCCGTTTAAATTAAAAGTATTCGCGAAGCAATATCAATTAGTCACCGCGCAGAGTAATTTCCCATTTGCAGGGTGACGTTGCCTTTCTCAAATTGAAATTCAATAATCTGTAACAGTCCCGCACCGAATCGCATTTACCACGTTTCGCTTTGAACTTACCCTTCTTTCCTCTTCCCTGGCAGCCCTCAGGTGCAGCTCGATTGCTTCTAAATCAATTTTCGGCATCGCCGTTTCGATATTGTACACGTCGAAGCTCCCTGTATAAGAACAAAGAGAACTGTCAGAACATTTTGATAAAACGATCTTTTTCGAACGAGGTAAAACGAAAAATAAAAAAAACTTTGTACCACCTGGGTACCAAATTTTTTTGGAATTTTCTATTTTTTTAAAATTTGTATTATCATCTGGGGAAATTTAAAGGGTTAGGTTAATAATCCTCTAAGGATAATATCCCTTTAGGTCGAGTTTGCGACGACGTGATAATTATCTTGCATAATTAAACGGATATGTTACAGGCTCCGTTTTGCCGTGTTGTTGAGATAATCAGTTAACTCAATTGGCACTTGTAGTTAGTGATATTGTTCCCAAAAGACATTTTAATTATAGTTTTATGAGTTTTATCGCTCTGTGCCTAATTTTACTCCGATTATTTGTTTCTACAAGGTGAGTTTTTGTGCTAAAAATTGTTTCAGCAGCGAAATAGACCTGAATAATTTAGACAACGTGCTGAATTTAACGTCCATACTGAGCTCTTCAGATGTATATGCAAGAATGTGAAATATTTCCTGAAGAAATTGGTTATGTAACTGAAATTTTTGTTTATGTGATGACACTAACATAAAAGATGAAAGAAATTTCCAAGACAAATTGTAGCCGCACTGAAAATGATGAAAAAGTTTAATGAATAATACAAAGTGCACTATTTGCTTGGAGAGATGCTTTATTTATGACTTAAAACGTTATCTCCTTGCTACAGAGTCTCAACCAAAAGATTCCAAAGTTACCAAAGGGATCTATGTAGATATAGTCAATAGAATAAAAAGGTTATAAACCTTATTAAGTCTCAAACTAACATCATTACAAAACACGAATAGATTTGGTAATTCAAATTGTGAAATAGTAGTTGCCTACTATGCTATATATAGTGCTATATATATAGTTGCCTGCGTGACGTCACGAACGGGCCGTTGAGCTGTTCCCGGGATGTAGCAGTCCCTTATCTTCATTTACGTTAATACTTAAGATTTAAATGAAACGTCTAAATAGTATGCAACTTTTTATACAAGTTGAACTAATTCACTTAACAAATAATTGTTTTAAAGCAATTTTATGTCAAGAAAGATAATTACTAAAAAAAACGATATTTATCTCTATAAACCGCAGCAAGAAGAAAACTTGAGAAATCAGAAGTAAGTAATTAAAACGTTAACCGTAAAATGAGAAATCTGCAGACGAGATAATTATACATTTATAGGAGAACCAGGTTCATTTTTCATCTTAATTATACTGAAGTTGTAACTTTTAACGGGGTATGTGAGTTGTCTCCTGGTAGACCGTTAGTTAGATGGAACTTACCTAAAAGCTCTGGGTTGGTTCTTTTCTTTTCCCTGGCCAGGGGAACGGATCTCCTGTTTAAATTTTCGCGCCCCCTGCTGCAGCCCAACTCCCTCCTGGGAATAGTGATAAGACTCCCAATCTGTTGGTTGTAGTCTCTTTTCTTCCGGAAGGTAACTTCCACTTTCTCCTTTTTACGCGGAATGGCGCTGTCTTCGTCTTTTTCCGGTTCATCTTTCGTTTTGTCTTCTTTACAAAACTTTTCTAGTTCTTCGTTTTGATTTAATGAAAATTTCTAAAATAAAAATTTTAAAGATATTTTCTTTGGGTATGAAATTCGGTGGCGAGTTGACAAATCAATATTACCTGGTGCTTTCCACGCAAAGCACGTTCCTCATTTTCCCAAATCGCGTCTCCTTTCACGAGGTCGTTATTAAACATTTTAGACTTGTCGAGGTCGACCTCCATAACGTCTTTTTCCTCGTTCAAATTCGTGTCGGCGAACATCTCTTGATCCACGGGTGGTATTAGATCTTGTACTTCGGATAGGAATGCGTCTGAAAGTTTCATTTTAAAATTATCTTCTTGAAGAATTTTTATATCTTTGATTGTTAGGTTATGTTCGAAATTATTTGGGAGTACGGTTAACATTTTTGGTGGTTCCTTATTAAACGGTTCTTCCACGTTTGGTTCGTAATTATATTTTGAAGCTGTTGGTTCTAAATCTTTAGCTAAAGATAATCTTTCGACGGCTTCTTCAAGCTCTTCTTTTACAACTCTTTCAATTGGCGAATCTGGACCGATTCCGATACGATCAAGTTCTTGAACGATTTCTTTCTCTAAATCACCGATAATTCCATTATCTTTATTATAAACTTTTTCTTCCTCCTTAATTTCTATTTTTGGGGAGTTATCGTCGTCATCACTGATTTGATTTGAGTTTGAAGTGCTTGGTTCACCTGATTGGGATTCTAAGGGAATGTTCAAAACCGTTTTGTCATAAAAAACTTTTTGGATATTTTCAACACTATCCAATCGGTTTACACTATCAATTTTATCCCCATGATATTCCGTTTCTTCTTCATCGTTATTATTATTGTTGTTGTTGTTATTATTAGCGTTATTAGAATCTACAACGTATTTTGATTCTGCCTCACAATCGAAATCGTCGTCCGTTAAATCAGTGTCAGATGAAGCTTTTATTCCGTACTCTAAAGTATGCGCTAAATGTTGAAATCCGGGATAATTCGGATTTACGATTCCCCTACGCTGAAAGTTTGTTTCGTTTTGACTCAAATTAATATCGTCCGATATCGATTCAGAGTCGGATACATCAAAACCTCTGTCTTCTTCTTGCGGGGAAGTGTCTACAGATGAGCAGCTTTGATGTGCATCTGAAAATGATTCATTTTAGAGAATAATATGGTCTTATAGTTAATTAACCTAGATGGAAGTGGGCCGTTAGGGGGAAATAAACGTCGGGAATGTACACAAGAAGGGCATTACCATTAACAACGTTATGTACGGTTTCTCATAATATATTCTTGAGGTATATCGTAAAATTGTAGTTAGTGTCGTGGTTGTGAATATTAAATTATTCATTGTTGGAACGGAAAACAACGAACATTAAACATAATGTATGTACTTAATCATTAATTTAATAATAGCTTACCTTCATAGTCTAAAAGGCTATCATCTGGTGAAGATTCTGAACAGATTGAAGAGGCCGTAGCTCTCCTCGTATTTTCCAATGAGACAGCCAGCGTGTTGTTGATATTGAACAGTTGATGTTGTCGTTTCCGGTTGTCGTTCACGTTGTTCGCGATCTCGGTCCGGATTTGAGCATGTGCAGCGTTGCACCATTGCACTCTTGTATCTTCGTTGATACCGATGTTGTTAAGGAGATTTGTATCCCCCTTGGTATTAGTAATGAGCACATTCGAATTATCGTTCACTATATACTGATTTACATTCGAATTTACGTTCGCGTTGTATTGTCCGCTTGTTATTGTTGTTAATGTTGTCGAAACATTACTATTTTGAACGGTGTTGATACGTTTTGGTGAATTTAATAACGCCGAGTTACCATTGTGGACGGATAGCGGACCGTCCACGTTTTTTAGACGCATATTTGAATTCTGAAACAAACAAAAAATACAAAATTAACAACTTTCAAACGCGAAAAATGAATTGAAATAATCCATTCGATATTGATACAATTATGATTTCGTGTGAATTCAATTCAATTTGATACATTTCGATTGGGGAGTGTTTAATTGTGGTCGAAATTTCAATTTGGAGATAATCCGATTCGTGGTAATAAATTTGATAAAAATGTACGAGTTTAAATTGAAAAGGTTTATGTAATTTGTTTGTAAAATTTCAGATACAAAGCTTAATATTTTATAACTTAGAATTTATATATGCAAATATAAATACTCTCGACACAGTGGAAATTAAAGCTGTTTTGTTTTAAAAAAAGAAGTTTCTACTGGTTAATCCACGCGAAAATTACTATCGAGTGATATACAACTCGTTTAAAACGGATTACAGTAAGAGTTTTATTACAGTGGTTGTATACAGACAATGATTTTGTTTGTTTGGATTTTTTTTATCAACTGTGTATATTTACTACTTGAAAGTGTATAAAACGAGCAATAAAATAGGGTAATTCCACAAATACTAACCCATAAAAATAAAAAAAAAACATAATTAATTAATATTGTATTTGCAACAGTTTTTTTGTTCATTGCTGGATGCTCGGCTATCAAAACCAGATTGCTTTAACATTGGTAATAGATTTTTGTGCACCAATGAGATAAAATTGATTTCTCACTCGTGTTACAGAATACAACAAAGCTGCTATTCCAATCAGGTTTTTATTCTAAGAATTTTCTTTGTACCTGGTCATTAAATTACTCAGTTACTCAAATAATTGGTGTGTAGTGTAACCGCTTTTTTATGTTTGACGGTTTTGCAGGAATAAGATGAAACCAAAATAACCTTCCATCATTTCATTAAGCAAAAGTCTGCAACACAGAACTACACAGTCTGAACTATGAGGAACCAATCAGTGTCACGATGTTAACATTCTAAGAGTATTTGTGACCTCAACATGGATGGTTTCGAAAAACCAAGTTTAGAACCAAGGGTGTGCAGGAAATCTTACTTGGTTACAAATATTTTAAGGGATATTGTATTTAAGACATCAAAAAATATAGCAATAGCCAATCTAAAATTGTAAATAGGAAACATTCGAACAGGAAGATGAAATAATGTGAAAAAATTCAAGAAATAAATAAAACAGAATCCAGAGGATTATGCAAGAAAGATTATTTACTTCTATTACTTTGTGAGAGGTTACTCTGCATAAGCTTTTCTGATAGTTCTGACATTTGGAAAAACGCAATGGTATAAAAAATGAAATCGCATGATGAAAATCATGCATTAGTTTGTATACTATAGTAAAGTGTTGCTAAATATAACAGCAACATCTTAAATTACATCAATTTGATATTAAGGCAGCTTGTATGGTAAGGTTGAAGAAGAATTGGATATGCAACAACTAATCGAAGATGTAAACCTGCAGGAACATTAAAACGGCCAATAATGTGGATAGGTCAATATGCAGGTGGTTATAATTTACTCTAGGAAATGAAAAGACGGACAAGCTTGCCAAACAGGCAGCTGTGGACAACAAAAAAGCAACTTAAAACAGTTGATTAACACATGGGTGGAGTCATAGGTAGCCTGCGCTGAAAAGAACTTCCAGGACACAGACAGGCAAAGAGCATGATAACTCCTTGCCTGACACCTACTGACATAAAGAAATATAAGACCTTGGAACAATACTAAGGTGGACTTAAGTTACAATACAAGGTGTTGATTTTCTGGAAAAAATAAAATAGAAGAACTAGTTTTAGAAGTCTTATTTGAATCCATGTTGCAAGCTCTTAGATAATATTTAAAATTGGTGATTAATTAGAAAAAATTAAATTACTTCTTATACTTGCTGTTTAAATATTTATTGATACCGGTTTCGAAGTTTTACTTCATCATCAGTCAAAACCTTAATTAAATGAAATAACAAAACAAAATCGAAAACATCGTAATTAAACCAAAATTTCTTTTTCCATTTTACTCACGTCAAGTCCTAAAAAATGTAGATCGTCATAGAACCATTTCAACGTGTTTGGTTCTATGACGATCTACATTTTTTAGGACTTGACGTGAGTAATTTAATTTTTTCTAATTAATCACCAATTTTAAATAGTTTTAGAAGGGTTAGAGGACAAATCTAGATATATAATGCGATGATACATAAAAATCTAGTTTAAAGATAACCTCTTTTCTGATAACAGAACCTAGAATTATAGCAATTAATGAAATGTTACTTTTGATACACTCTATATATCTAATTCCTTATAAAATAAAAAATTTCAGTGTAATTCTTCAAGTTGATCGACGTGTTACAATTTAAACCGATCTATTTATTCTTTCATCCACATGAACAAAAAAACACTTTTCCCATCGAATAGTTACTATAAATAAACCAGCGAAAGGGATTTTCTAAATCAATACCTCCTTCCATACACGAGCGTCCTACATACATCGAAGCTAAGATACGGCATCCGTTGTGTCTTCTAAAATCCTTGTAGACGGCGGATTTCACGTGAAAAATAATATTTTTCGTATGTAAAAATTTTCGTTAAATTAATTAACAGGATCACGTATAACTTTCCATCATAATTTCTGGTCGTGTCGACGTCCAGCCTTGTCCTTTATTTAACACAGTTTATCTCTAATACACGGCCGTTCTCCGTTTCGGAGTCATTAATTTTCCTCTGTGTTCCACTGAACGGGAACGGATGTAGGTCATCTCGATCTCTTTTTTTTCGTCATCGAGAACCCCGACGGAATGTTTAAGGGAAAAACGTACCATCATGAATTCTTTAGCAGTTTTATTCTTTGCGAGAGGGGTTTTCGCCGTCGAACGGCTTTTTGTTTGGCATCTTCTTTTGCTCGCGCACGCTTTTCCATTGTTAGGATTAATTTGGAACCGCGCCAAACGTCCTGCGTAATAACCGCAAATCTTCCGACGGAAATAAAACGATTCTTATTGAAGATTTACAAAAAAATTGTTTCTTCAAATTCAAAATAATTATAATTAAATATCGGTTGAGAGATTCCACTTTGGAGAGTGGTAAAATTTAATTAAAATTCTCTAAAGCGATTAATCACTTGAGAGAACGCTTCAGCGCTTCCGCTGAGCAACGCGCGCGGTTCATAAAAAAAGCTTCATTACATCGGCATCCTAGGAATTTACACATAAAGCGCGAACCAGCTTAACCTTGGACGTTTATTTTGCTCTACTTTAACGATCTAGAAACGACGTGGTCCGGTGGCTGAGTTGTAAAACTAGAAGATAAAATAAACAAGCACATATGGTGCGAGGAAAACTCTATGAAGAAAATGTTACAACTCAAATTTTTTATTTTTTATATGTATACTGAAAAAGCTCGATATAATTGATCTCACTATATTGTTGTATATTTTTATTGAATTAAAAGTGGAATTAACACTAGATCTACAACTAGAACCATTCGGGTTTAGCCGTCTTAAGAGACGTGCGGCTAAACCCGAATGGTACTAGTTGTAGATCTAATGTTAGTTCTAATGCTGGCGTTAGTTACAGTTTTACTTATTCTGTAATGCTTGATTGTTGTATATTTATCATTGAAAAAAAACTAGAACTAACACTATATCTAGAACTAGAAACATTTGGTTTAGCCGCACGTCTCTTAAGACGGCTAAACCCGAATGGTTCTAGTTGTAGATCTAGTGTTAGTTCTAATGCTAGCGTTAGTTACAGTTTTACTTATTATTCAGTGCTTGTTTGTTGTGTATTTATCATTGAAAAAAACTAGAACTAAGACTAGATTTAGAACTAGAAACATTCGGCTTTAGCCGCACGTCTCTTAAGACGGCTAACTGTAGTTGTTTAAAAATAATTTTTCTTTTCGTTAAAACTACAATGTGATGTCCACAAGTTGCAGGAAATTTCAATGGCGATCTCATCGATATAACGGTAAACGCACGTAATTCCTGCATTAATCTCTCATTTAATTTGCAAATGCAACTGCGTGAGAATGTTCCCCTGTGCCAACTAATAAACTCCCTCGATGGAAATAACCCCTTCATATCCATTTCATACAAACTCACACGCAATATTATTACTTTTAAAAAAGATTTAATAAAGTTTGGTTTTCTTAGAATATATTTAAATGTAGATCGAAATGATGGCCAAAAATGGGTGACCGGAAAGTAGACGTGGCGAGAATCCAAGTCCGCATCGAGTAGAAAACACATTTATCACACCCCAAAAAAAGCACTGTGGGGTATCTGAATGGAAGAAATTGCAAGTCATATTTACATGGAAAATCTATTACTTGGCTTGTATCCCATAGTTGGGGCGTGTTAAAAATACAATCCAGCGACCTGGTAAAACCGATGTAAAGGTTTTGCAACGATAAAAGTCATTTATCAAGAACTAAAAAGTAGCTTACCGAACGATAAGGGTTTATTGATGTGGTTATTACTTTATAAGTTTTTGCATATTAACTAAAAATTTTATCTTAAGTAATGACTTAAGAAACAAGTTTATAAAAGAAAGTTCATCGAACTTGAATAAAAAAGAATTGCAATTCTTATAAACCGAATTATCTAACCCTTTTCATCTTTTACCATAGCGGACAACTACGATTCCGGAACGAAGAAAATTTCCCAGAAATTGTACTTCAAGAGACGTTTCCGTTTCAATTTCCGGTAGTTCGAACTCGACGGCGGTGACCTCCGAGCCGCAGAAAAAGGTCGTGAGCGCAATTCTAAAAACACGATAACCCCATTCATTTCCATTCTGCGTGCTCTGTTGGACCGACGATTCTTGGCAATAACGCGAATTGGTACGACTTGTTCGAATTCTAGTAATAACCAAGAAAAGATTAATAAAACCATAAAAGAAGTTCCCAAGATAAAACTTAAATAATTTTGATAAAATTTTTTATTATGTTGAAACCCAAACGAGATGCGCGAATCACTTGCACATAATAATCGTAAAACTAACAAAAGCTCTCACTAC